GGATTCCATAAATATAATTAACGATTTATTAATCAAACGGCTAAGTAAATGAGAACGGGAATTAACAGCAGAGTGCAACGAAACAACGTTATTCTAATCTCAAATAAACGAAGTGCAGTCCGCAACGGCAATGAATTCGCATCCCGTGCGAGCCGTACCGAGTTTGGCCTTGCCTAGCCCGACAGAAATCCGCTCTCTAGATATTACACACCGGCGCCGTATACGTGAGTAAATTGTTTCGTTATTTAATTGATTATAAGAAATCAATATTCAAAACGACCCAATTCATTTTCCCGAAAATTTGGGAACACAATAATTTTATTCTTAGTATTACACTACATCTATCCCAACTGATATACGTGTCCTTGCAAAAATGTTGATGACGTCATCACAATTTTTTTTTAAATTCCCGCTACAAAAATGTAATGAGAAAAAAAAACATAATAGGCATGCAGTCGTCACGTTTCCGATAGCGAGGGAAGTACTGTCTAAACTCTTCAGACCAATTTTTTTAAGAATGTGAAACATTCTCGGGGTCCCAACTCTCTTTTTTAAAATGTAAAATCTTGTCGGGGTCTCCAAATGGTTTTTTTTTTTTTTAATGCAAAACCTTCTCGGAGGCTCCAAATGTATTTTTTTAAGAATGTGAAACCTTCTCTGGGGTCCCAACTCTCTTTTTAAAAATTTAAAATCTTCTCGGGGTCTCCAAATGTTTTTTTTTTATGTAAAACCTTCTCGGGGTCCCAACTCTGTTTTTAAAAATGTAAAATCTCCTCGGGGTCCCAAATGTTTTTTTTTCAATGCGAAACCTTCTCGGGGGTCCCAACTGAATTTTCTTAAGAATGTGAAACCTTCTGGGGAGCCCAATTGTCTTTTTTTAAAATGTAAAACCTTCTGGGGGGTCCCAAGTATCTTTTTTTAATGTGAAACCTTCTTGGGGATTCCAAGTATCTTTTTTTTTAATGTGAAACCTTCTCGGAGCCCCCAAATGTGTTTTTACTTCCCGAGCGTAAGCAAAGGAAGTATTGTAATCGAGTCCGTCGGCCGACTCTCTACTTTTACGTTTTCTCGATCTTTCATGACCCCTAGAAGACGAAGAAATAGGTCTCCCATTTCCGTCTGTCTGTCCGTCTGTCCGTCTGTCCGTCCGTCTGTCCGTCTGTCCGTCTGTCCGTCCGTCTGTCCGTCTGTCCGTCTGTCCGTCCGTCTGTCCGTCTGTTGTCCCGGATTTTTATTAGACAGATAATCTCCGAAAGTACTCGACCGATTGTTGTGAAATTTTGTACTTATATTAAGAATATCATGTAGATGGTAAAACGCTAACCAAAATTTGTCTAATCATCCCCACCACTAATGCGATGACGTCACTTCAAAATTGTACATAGTAAATGGGTTTTCAATTGTATAAAATAACATAGTCCTACACATGTAGTTTACAACTCCGAATCGACTTTTCACTCGAAACGTCCAGATTTTTGGAAAAAAAGTCAAAATTATAAAACAACATTTTGAAATTTAATTTTTAATCTGCTAACCAGAATGCTTTGAAATGTTGCAGATGTTTTAAGGCTATAAAGAGCATCATAAATCTTTAGTCAAAAAATATTTGCTTATCCCCTCCAAAAACTTGATGACGTCAGCTCAAAAGTTTGTGGAATAAATCATATCTAAAATGTACAAAATATGATGAGTCTGTACTTGTGATCTATCACTCCATTCATATTTTTTGGATTTGCATATACAGGGTGACTCAAAAAAATTAATGAATGCGTAAATTTATTTTACTAATTTACTCAGAAACTACAAAACCGAATGCTTTGAAATCTTGCAGATGTTTTAAGGTTATGAAGAGCATAATAAATGTTTAGTCAAAATATATTTGCTTATCCCCTCCAAAAAATTGATGACGTCAGCTCGAAAATTTGCCGAATAAATCCTATCTAAACTGTAAAAATATGATGAGTCTGTACTTGTAATTTATCACTCCATTCATATTTTTTGGATTTGCATATACAGGGTGACTCAAAAAAATTAATGAACGCGTAAATATATTTTATTGATTTAATCAGAAACTACAAAACCGAATGCTCTGAAATCTTGCAGATGTTTTAAGGTCATAAAGAGCATAATAAATGTTTAGTCAAAATATATTTGCTTATCCCCTCCAAAAACTTGATGACGTCAGCTCGAAAGTTTGCCGAATAAATCCTATCTAAACTGTAAAAATATGATGAGTCTGTACTTGTAATTTATCACTCCATTCATATTTTTTGGATTTGCATATACAGGGTGACTCAAAAAAATTAATGAACGCGTAAATATATTTTATTGATTTAATCAGGAACTACAAAACCGAATGCTCTGAAATCTTGCAGATGTTTTAAGGTCATAAAGAGCATAATAAATGTTTAGTCAAAATATATTTGCTTATCCCCTCCAAAAACTTGACGACGTCAGCTCGAAAGTTTGCCGAATAAATCCTATCTAAACTGTACAAAATATGATGAGTCTGTACTTGTGATTTATCACTCCATTGATTTTTTTTTGGATTTGCATATACAGGGTGACTCAAAAAAATTAATGAATGCGTAAATTTATTTTATTGATTTACTCAGGAACTACAAAACCGAATTCTTTGAAATCCACTGCGAAAAAAAAAAACATAATAGGCATGCAGTCGTCACGTTTCCGACAGCGAGGGAAGTACTGTCTAAACTCTTTAGACCAATTTTTTTAAGAATGTGAAACATTTTCGGGGTCCCAACTCTCTTTTTAAAAATGTAAAATCTTCTCGGGGGCCCCATATGTATTTTTTTTTATAATATGAGACCTTCTCGGGGGTCCCAACTCTCTTGGGAAAAATCTTGTCGGGGTCTCCAAATGTTTTTTTTTTATGCAAAACCTTCCCGGGAGTCCCAAGTATTTTTTTTTTTTAATGTAAAACCTCGGAGGCTCCAAATGTATTTTTTTAAGAATGTGAAACCTTCTCAAGAGTCCGAACTCTCTTTTTAAAAACGTAAAATGTTCTCGGGGTCTCCAAATGTTTTTTTTTTTTTAATGCAAAACCTTCCCGGGAGTCCCAAGTATCTTTTTTTTAATGTAAAACCTTCTCGGAGGCTCCAAATGTATGTTTTTAAGAATGTGAAATCTTCTCAGGGGTCCCAACTCTCTTTTTAAAAATTTAAAATCTTCGCGGAGTCTCCAAATTTTTTTTTTTATGCAAAACCTTCCTGGGAGTCCCAAGTATCTTTTTTTTTAATGTAAAACCTTCTCGGAGGCTCCAAATGTATTTTTTTAAGAATGTAAAACCTTCTCAAGGGTCCCAACTCTCTTTTTAAAAATGTAATATGTCCTCGGGGTCTCCAAATGTTTTTTTTTTTTTTTTAATGCAAAACCTTCCCGGGAGTCCCAAGTATCTTTTTTTTTAATGTAAAACCTTCTCGGAGGCTCCAAACGTATTTTTTTAAGAATGTGAAACCTTCTCAGGGGTCCCAACTCTCTTTTTAAAAATGTAAAATCTCCTCGGGGTCTCCAAATGTTTTTTTTTTTTTTTTAATGCAAAACCTCGGGAGTCCCAAGTATCCTTTTTTTTAATGTGAAACCTTCTCGGGAGTCCCGACTGTATTTTTTTCAGAATATGAAACCTCAGGGGTCCCAACTCTCTTTTTAAAAATTTAAAATCTTCTTGGTGGCCCCAATTTTTTTTTTTTTTTTTTTAATGCAACACCTTCTCGGGAGTTCCAACTGCCTTCATAAAAATGTAAAACCTTCTCGGGGGGCCCAAATGTATTTTTTTAAGAATGTGAAACCTTCTCGGGAGTCCCAAGTATCTTTTTTTTTAATGCAAAACCTTCTCGGGGGGCCCAAATGTATTTTTTTAAGAATGTGAAACATTCTCGGGGTCCCAACTCTCTTTTTTAAAATGTAAATTCTTGTCGGGGTCTCCAAATGGTTTTTTTTTTTTAATGCAAAACCTTCTCGGAGGCTCCAAATGTATTTTTTTAAGAATGTGAAACCTTCTCTGGGGTCCCAACTCTCTTTTTAAAAATTTAAAATCTTCTCGGGGTCTCCAAATGTTTTTTTTTTATGTAAAACCTTCTCGGGGTCCCAACTCTCTTTTTAAAAATGTAAAATCTCCTCGGGGTCCCAAATGTTTTTTTTCAATGCGAAACCTTCTCGGGGGTCCCAACTGAATTTTCTTAAGAATGTGAAACCTTCTCGGGAGCCCAATTGTCTTTTTTAAAAATGTAAAACCTTCTCGGGGGTCCCAAGTATCTTTTTTTAATGTGAAACCTTCTTGGGGATTCCAAGTATCTTTTTTTTAATGTGAAACCTTCTCGGGGCCCCCAAATGTGTTTTTTTAAGAATGTGAAACCTTCTCGGGGGGCCCAAGTGTCTTTTTTTAAGAATATTAAATCTTCTCGAGGTTCCCAACTCTCTTTTTTAAGAAGGTGAAACCTTATTTGTTTCTATTACACTGTCACTAGACCTTCTATATTGTTTTTATGGCGTAGAGTTTATTACGAAAAAGTAAAATTCCGCAAAATCAGATTTTATAATTTTTCAGAGAATAGAAGCAGCATTTGTTGGACTGTACTTCAGAAGCAAGGAAAGTTCTGTCGAAATAACTTGTTTCCTAAGTTTACAGGTTGTGCGCCACTATGGGATATATTTACTGATTTAATAGTAATCCCAAATTAGAAAAAAAAATGTGACGCTTCAAATGCCCCAACACTGTGGATTGTGCTTTTATATACTTCTCAACATGTCATTAAACCCAGCTTTTATTGCAGACCAATTTCGAAAACAAGAATCAATTCATTCGTTTATAATGTACTGACTCAGGAATTTGACTTTACTACTCCACGGTAACAATTTGACAAACACTTTCCTTAATAATAATTATAAAAATATCGAAGTTCAAGTAGGAAATAAGTGACCTGACCTAGTAGTTATAAACTTCGCGGCCACCGAAAAAAAATTGTATACCAAAATTCTACCTGCAGCCTCTGCCAAATGTAGTCATTATCCCATATCTCCACGACCGACTTCGACCTGCTCCTCTGCTCCCCGTCGTACGCCGTCCCCGTCTCCTCCTCGCTCGAAATACTGAGATCATCATCGTCGTCGTGTATCTCCATCGCGACGTCATCGGCCCACCGGATCGTGGAATCCTCGATCGGTTTTCCCGGTCTCTCTAGCCGCAGCGACATCATCCAAAAAAAATTTACACCCGAACCGCGGTACAAAACTTCAAATAAATCATTCCATTTCTTGGACCCGTTCCCGTTAATTTCACACTCAGTTACCGCACGATATGACTTACGTTGCACATGGTCGCTATTTACTTTACCCGACGCTTTTCACTAAAACAGAATTAGATCGAAAAATAAACCGATCAAATAAACAAAAAGTGCGTGCGCTGGCTAAGACGAAGCCAATTTGTCCATCGATGCGCTCAAACACAACACACCCCGATGTTTAATTTGAATAATCGTGTCACAGCTCGAACACGGCATGTATTTAAAATTTGTGTTTTTTTTAAGCGCTTTTGAGGGTTTAGTGTTTGATTAATGGCCGACGCGGTGTTTGTTTAATTTTTGTGTGTTGAAAGTCGAAACGGCAACGTTACTCGGCCGCATCCACCACGAGACTAACTGATGATTTTCCGAACATGTATTTTGTACTAGACGATTCTATTTTTAATTTCTATTGAATTTGTCCTGAGTTTAAACTCAAAAATTTATTGGAAGTTAATAGCGTTTAACTAGTCGGATTTGGGTCAATTTCCACTTTCGTGCCAGATGAACGGCTGTTTGGAGCGAGAGGCAGAGGCGGACTGGGTTTAGGTGATGTTGCTAAAAATCACGAAGTGTCAGTCTATGAAAAACGTCGTGGTAGTTCTTCTCTCATTATACTATTTACCTTACTATTGATAAATATTGATAACAATGAAGATTAAGCGATAAGACCAGCTTCTGCGTTAAACACTCTATTCCTGTTGTTTGTTGTTTGTTAGTACGACCCTGTAGTCACGTGTCGTAACTTTTCCAACAACAAAGCTGTGAAAATATTTTCAATTTTCAGCTAGGCTGTGATGGTGCCAACTCATTGGTGAGGAAGGAAATGGATTTTCATCATATCGCGTGCAACTACAACCAAATGGGAATTGTAGCCACGCTTAAATTACCAGAGGTACGTTATTCACACGCTACTAACATTGCCGTTGCTTTATTCAAAAATTGTAGGATTCCCCGAACGTGGTGGCATGGCAAAGACATCTTCCCGATGGCGGTTTTCTGGCGCTTCTACCGGTCGGTAACTTAACAATAATTATTACAAGCTTTATTTTCCACGTCGCTTTATAGCTAACTCAAGGTTTCTCGTCGATGGTGTGGTCCATGAATGCCAAAGAAGCTAAACGTGTGGCGAGCTTGTCCGAAGATGCGTTCGTAGATGCCATTAATGACGCTCTTGTATGTTTCAATTGATTTTTTATTTTATTTTGTTAATTGATAATTATAGTGGAAAGTTCAACCCAGAAGTGGTTTCGTGGATCAGGCGACTCAGACTTTCGATAATTTAATACGATTTTTCAATCTTCCGTCGACTTCGATGACCCAGTGTCCTCCAAAGGTCTTGGGTTGTGATATTAAAAGCAGGGCGATGTTTCCACTTGGCATAGGGCATGCTACGAATTATGTGTCTAAAGGGGTGGCTCTGGTTGGGTAAGTATCACAAAGTTTTGGGATTCGAGTGACAGTTGGAAATTTCCATTTTTTACTTTTTTGCACTTTGAAAAGTTGATTTTTCGTTATACAAATTTTACATTTTAAACATGTTTTAAGTTTCGTGTTGTGAAAATAAGTCTACACATGTTAAAACCAAAAAGCAAAATGTAAGCCCGCCCACCCGCCCTGTCTCAATTGTGATGATTTTTTTATTCGTTGTGAGCCAAGAGGGCGGAGCTTAACTGCAGAATCCTTATTTTTCTCTACGAGGAATTGAAAACATGTTTTTGAGTATCGTGTTGTTCAAAGAATACTATGTAGATATGTTAAGAAAAATAAAGGTTGAAATTGGGGTATTTTGCATATTTTTGAATGTTTCAAAGGACGATTCTGGAAGAACCATTGGATTTATCGAAGAAATGAAAACGGATATGACTTCTGCGGCCGAAAATCTATAAGAAAAAGCGTTTTGTGAAATTTCGAAAATTTTGTTGAAAATTGGTCGAAAATTGGGGTATTTTGCATATTTTTGAATGTTTCAAAGGACGACTCTGGAAAAACCAATGGAGTTATCGAAGAAATGAAAGCGGATATGACTTCTGGTGCCCGAAATCCATAAGAAAAAGTGTTTTGTGAAATTTCGAAAATTTTGTTGAAAATTGATCGAAAATTGGGGTATTTTGCATATTTTTGAATGTTTCAAAGGAAGATTCTGGAAGAACCATTGGAGTTATCGAAGAATCGAAAGCGGATATGACTTCTGCGACCCGAAATCTACAAGAAAATGTATTAACTGAAATTTCGAAAATTTTGTTAAAAATTGGTCAAAAATTGGGGTAAAGGACGATTCTGGAAGAACCATTGGAGTTATGGAAGAAATGAAAACGGATATGACTTCTGCGACCTGAAATCTATAAGAAAAAGTGTTTTGTGAAATTTCGAAAATTTTGTTGAAAATTGGTCGAAAATTGGAGTATTTTGCATATTTTTTAATGTTTCAAAGGACGATTCTGGAAAAATCATTGGAGTTATCGAAGAAATAAAAGCGGATATGACTTCTGCGGCCCGAAATCTATAAGAAAAAGTGTTTTGTGAAATTTCGAAAATTTTGTTGAAAATTGGTCGAAAATTGGGGTATTTTGCATATTTTTGAATGTTTCAAAGGACGATTCTGGAAAAACCATTGGAGTTATCGAAGAAATGAAAGCGGAGATGACTTCTGCGGCCGGAAATTTATAAGAAAAAGTGTTTTGTGAAATTTCGAAAATTTTGATGAAAATTGGTCGAAAATTGGGGTATTTTGCATATTTTTGAATGTTTCAAAGGACGATTTTGGAAAAACCATTGAAGTTATCGAAGAAATGAAAGCGGATATAACTTCTGCGGCCCGAAATCTACAAAAAAATGTATTTTGTGAAATTTCGAAAACTTTTGTCGAAAATTGGTCGAAAATTGGAGTATTTTGCATATTTTTGAATGTTTCAAAGGACGATTCTAGAAAAACCATTGGAAATATCGAAGAAATGAAAGCGGATATGACTTCTGCGGCCCGAAATCTATAAGAAAAAGTGTTTTGTGAAATTTCGAAAATTTTGATGAAAATTGGTCGAAAATTGGGGTATTTTGCATATTTTTGAATGTTTCAAAGGACGATTTTGGAAAAACCATTGGAGTTATCGAAGAAATGAAAGCGGATATGACTTCTGCGGCCCGAAATCTATAAGAAAAAGTGTTTTGTGAAATTTCGAAAATTTTGTTGAAAATTGGTCCAAAATTGGGGTATTTTGCATATTTTTTAATGTTTCAAAGGACGATTCTGGAAAAACCAATTGAGTTATCGAAGAAATGAAAGCGGATATGACTTCTGCAGCCCGAAATCTACAAGAAAATGTGTTTTGTGAAATTTCAAAAATTTTGCTGAAAATTCTTCGAAAATTGGGGTATTTTGCATATTTTTTAATGTTTCAAAGGACGATTCTGGAAAAACCATTGGAGTTATCGAAGAAATGAAAACGGATATGACTTCTGCGGCCCGAAATCTATAAAAAAAGTGTTTTGTGAAATTTCGAAAATTTTGTTGAAAATTGATCGAAAATTGGGCTATTTTGCGTATTTTTTTAAAGTTTCAAAGGACGATTTTGGAAAAACCATTGGAGTTATCGAAGAAATGAAAGCGGATATGACTTCTGCGGCCGGAAATCTACAAGAAAATGTGTTTTGTGAAATTTCAAAAATTTTGCTGAAAATTCTTCGAAAATTGGGGTATTTTGCATATTTTTGAATGTTTCAAAGGACGATTCTGGAAAAACCAATTGAGTTATCGAAGAAATGAAAGCGGATATGACTTCTGCGGCCCGAAATCTACAAGAAAATGTGTTTTGTGAAATTCCAAAAATTTTGCTGACAATTCTTCGAAAATTGGGGTATTTTGCATATTTTTGAATGTTTCAAAGGATGATTCTGGAAAAACCGTTGGAGTTCTCGAAGAAATGAAAGCTGATATGACTTCTGCGGCCTGAAATCTACAAGAAAATGTATTAAGTGAAATTTCGAAAATTTTGTTGAAAATTGGTCGAAAATTGGGATATTTTGCATATTTTTGAATGTTTCAAAGGACGATTCTGGAAGAACCATTGGAGTTATCGAAGAAATGAAAACGGATATGACTTCTGCGGCCGGAAATCTATAAGAAAAAGCGTTTTGTGAAATTTCGAAAATTTTGTTGAAAATTCTTAGAAAATTGGGGTATTTTGCATATTTTTGAATGTTTCAAAGGACGATTCTGGAAGAACCATTGGAGTTATCGAAGAAATGAAAACGGATATGACTTCTGCGGCCGGAAATCAATAAAAAAAGTGTTTTGTGAAATTTCGAAAATTTTGTTGAAAATTGGTCGAAAATGGGGTATTTTGCACATTTTTTAATGTTTCAAAGGACAATTCTGGAAAAACCAATGGAGTTATCGAAGAAATGAAAGCGGATATGACTTCTGCGGCCTGAAATCTACAAGAAAATGTATTAAGTGAAATTTCGAAAATTTTGTTGAAAATTCTTCGAAAATTGGGGTATTGGAAACCAATGGATTTCTTCCAGAATCGTCCTTTGAAACATTCAAAAATATGCAAAATATCCCAATTTTCAACAAAATTTTTGAAATTTCACAAAATACTTTTTCTTGTAGATTTCGGGCCGCAGAAGTGACATGTTTGATCTCCACTTTTGATATTTTTCAAGTTTTCATTACGTACTTTTTCGTTTTTTTATTTTTGGTTTTTCAATTTTACAGTTTCTTGACTTCTAAATTTTTCAATTTTTCGAGTTGCAATTTTTTATTTTACAATTTTTCGATATTACAGTTTCTCATTTTTCGATTTTTCACATTCTCAGTTTTTTATTTTCGCCATTTTCAATTTTTCATTTCCTCAATTTTTCAAGTTCTCGATTTTTATTTTGCATTTTCCTGATTTTTTATTTTTCATTTTCTCAATTTTATATCACAATTTTTTGTTTTTTCATTTCCTTAATTTTTGTTGTTTATTTCGATTTTCCAATTTTTCGTTTATTCAATTTTTCAAATTTTCAGGCCAATCGATTCCAATTTGTCGATTTCCCAATTTTATTTCAACTTTTCGATGTTTTAATTTTTCTTTTTTAAAATTTTTCAATTTTTTTTATTTCTCGATTTATCGAATTCAGATTGTTCAATTTCTCAATTTTTTTCTATTTCTCGATTTTTGGATTTCTCGGTTTTTCGATTTTGCGATATTTCAATTGTTCAATGTTTTAAATTTTAGATTTTTCAATTTATGGATTTTTTGATTTTCCGGTTATTCAAAATTTCTATTTTCCAATTTTTCAAATTTTGACATTGCTAAATTTTCAGTTTTCCGATTTTTCAAGTAATATATTTTTTTTGATTTTCCGGTTTCTCGAATTCGCAGTTTCGATTTTTCAGTCCTTCAATTCTTCGATTTTTGGATTTTTCAGTTGGCTAATTTTTTAATTTCTCAATTTTGGATGTTTTTTCAGTTTTGGGATTTTCAATAGTTCTATTTTTCGACTTCTCGATTTTTTATGTTTTTAATTTTCAGTTTTTCGTCTTTTAAACTTTAGATTTTTCAGTTTTCGACTGTTTTATATATATTTCGATTTCTGAATTTTTCGAGTTTTCAGTTGTTGTATATTTTAATTTTTCTTTTTCGAGATTGTGCAAAATGCAACAAAATTGGCCACTTCCGGGCGTTCCGCTAATTTCTGACTTGCAGCCAGGCAGCCACCTGCACAAAGAGCTGCCGCCTGAGTTTTGTTTACAGTATCGTTTCTGATGACTCAATTTATTTTATTGATTAAATCAAGAACAACTCACTCGATTTTTCCAAAAATTTGTGGCCGGGATATAATTTTCATTGTACTTCAGGAGCACGGGAAGTTCTGTCGATGCAACTTTCGACCAATTTTTCCACCTGCGTCTAAAAACATCGAACTAAAAGAAAAAACACGATCGTTAAGCAACACTTAAAATTAATTTATCTCTTGAACTCTGTACAAATTTAGTTCTTATACAAATTTCCTGGAAATTTTCAACGCAACCGGGGAAATTTAGAGTTGTCTAATAATATCTCGCTTTAATGAAGAAAGCATGTTCAATTTCGTTCAGTCTGGAACGCAACAATGTTTAAATTCGGAGATTAGAGTTATTTACGCACAAATAAAATAAAACCAATGGCGTTTAAATTATCGCAAATTCCCAGATAACGACTATTTAAAATTTACCAAGAAGGATAAGTACGCCACTAATAGCATTTTCGCAAAAGTCATCATCATCACGCCGAAACCGGCTTAAGTCATTAGGAAATTTCTCTTTTATTGTCGCTGGAAGTCATAAATCCTCATTTACTTATAATACTTGTCCCCATTATTGTTTCTAGAGACGCGGCCCACAGAGTTCACCCTTTGGCAGGCCAAGGGGTTAATCTCGGTTTCGGTGACGTCATCTGCTTGAATAAAGTCTTAGCAGAGGCGGTGTACGCCGGCAGCACCCTCGGTAAGCCCTCGAACGTGAAAGCGACCGCAAAAACAACCCCTTTGTGTTTTTTGCAACAGGCAACTTGCAATATTTAAAGAACTATGAAACGGAACGGCAACGGTTCAACGTTCCCATGATCCTGGTCGTCCACGGTCTCGTCCAGCTGTACAGCACACAATTCACCCCTGTGGTGATTCTCAGAAGCTTGGGGTTGCAAGCGACAAATGCTCTCACCCCTCTCAAGGTAAGGAGCTATTCAAGTTCAAGAATATTTCAGGTCTGAATAAACCTCCGCGGCTGCACAGGGGGGACATAAATCAGCTATTTTAAACACGGGACGAAGTGCTTCCGGTTTTGTTTTCGTTTTATGGTGCATAAATAAACAGGAAATTTTGTTTGAAGTTTTAAAAAAGGTGATAACTTAGTTTTTTTTACAGAAATTCCTGATGTCCCAAGCTGCTGGCCTGCGATCTCAACAAGCCTAATTTTGCGTTTTTGTATAATAACAAAGCTGTAAATTTTGTAAAAACGAATATTAAAAAAAATAACTCAAATATATTTCAAAACAAATACAAACTTTACAAAAAATAAACAATATTGAGACTTACGTCTTTTTACCCCTAACTTTAACTTTAGAAGGGGGCGCACTGGGATTAACCCCCTTGTAAAACTCCTTCAACAGGTTCATAGCTTCCTCAGCTCTCCACCCACCTTTAATCCTAGTAGGCGCCTGTCTAACACTACCAACATCAAAAACAGTTTGTCCCCCAAATCTGTCATTTTTACAACCAAAAACGACACTGTGCACTAGAGATGGGAACTATCGTTACTTTGGTGTACTCGTACGTATTCGTTACTTTTTAAAAAAGTAATCGTTATTTATAATCGTTACTTCGGGTATTGATTACTTAATGAAACTCGCTTTGGTTTTATTTTATTGCGGTATGAAAATATCTAATAATTTCTGGAATAATACAAAAAATATATTTAAATCGTAAAAAAATACAAAAATAAATCAAATAATATTACATAGAATAAAAAAAAACAAAAACAAAAAACGTACTTTATAAATCTATTATTATTTAGTAACTTTAGTTACTTCATTCAATTTTTGTTAACTAACAAAAGGCCGCATTATTTTTAACTTATTATTCCTTTTTCTATATTCAACATTCAACTCAACTTGAAAGCGAAGTGTTAGTAAATAAAAGTAAGGGTATTTGATTTATAGGTTTAGGAGGTCGGTAGTTCTCGGTATTTCGGCAATCGGTTCTTGATTCCTTAGTATTTGAATCCAGAATGCATACTCGAAATCACGAAATGATCAGTAATCATTGACGAATAGTAACGATTACTTTTCAACTTCGATACTCGGTAGTTCGGGTCTCATCGTGTACCGAATACTTTGTAACGAATAGTTACTACCCGTCCCACCTCTACTGTGCACCCCCAAGTCATACAAAGCATTAATACACATGATACACGGTTCTACAGTCACGTAAACACACACTTGGCGGAACGCCGCCCCCAAATCCAAACCCTTGTCTCTACAATAGTCCGTAACTTGCTCAATACAGTTAATTTCAGCATGTCTGGTGGCGTTCCGACTCTCGTTCACCGTGTTTCGCCCCAGCGCCACAATTTCGTCCTTGTAGACAAAAATACACCCCACAGGGACTTCCTTAGCAGCCAGAGCTTCATACGCGTATTCAAATGCTTTCTCCATGAATTGTTGCTCAGTGTCCGTCAACTCCATTTTAGTTTGTCATGTACTTCAGCAAATCCTCCTTCTTGAAAAACTCCTCCGCTTTGGAGGGCCAATTCTGGTTATTCTTGACACGCGGACTCGGGTGCACCAAATTGAGCACTTTAACGTCACTGTCGTTGTTCTTTAGGGTCAAAATAGCGCGTTTTTCGGCATACCGTCCTATCCCTATTATGATTTCCGGGCTCAACAACTGGATGACTTTCCAGAAGTACTGGTCACAGATTCCTTCCAAAATATTAGTGTCCTGTAAACAACGATGAGTAAGTTTTCGCAAAAGTTACGTTTGTACCTTAATTCTTCAATTTTCCGATTTTTTAAATTTTGAATTTTTTGATCTCTCCGTTTTTCAATTTTTCGACTTCTCGGCTTTTTCAATTTTCTACTTTTTTAATTTTTCATTTTCTTAAATTTTGGATTTTTTAATTTTTCAACTTCTCGGCGTTTGGATTTAGCAATTTTTCGATTTTTAAGTTTTATATCTTTCAATTTTTAGATTTTTTGATGATTCGATTTCCCGATTCTTCGATTTTTCCATATTTTAATTTTTCAATTTTTTAAACTTTACACTTTTCAATTTTTCGTACTCTCCGATTTTCAGTTTTTCAGATATTTATATTTTTCAAATTTTCGAATTTTTTATCTTTCGGTTTATTGATTTTTGAATTTTTCAATTTTACGATTTTTTGATTCCATTTCTTCGGTTTTTGGATTTTAAAAACTTTTCGACTTTCCGATTTTTCAACATTTCAGTTTTGAGAATTTTTCAATTTCTGGATTTTTCAATTTTTGGATGTTCTGATTTTTCGATTTTCAGTTTTTTTATTTTGTCGCTTTTATTTATTTTGTTTTACTCGATACTCGGATGTTTCCATTCTTCCATTGTTCGATTTCTGGATAATTTGATTTCCCAATTTTTCGTCATTCCAGTTTTGGAATTTTTCAATTTCTCGAGTTTTCAGATTCTTCTAATTTTTTTCAATTTTGGATTTTTCGGTTTTCCGATTTTTCGAATTTTCGGCTTTTCGACTTTTTGGTTTTCCAATTTTCCGTCATTTCAGTTTGGAAATTTTACAATGTATCGAGTTTTCAGTTTTTCAATTTTTGGCGTTTCTAAATTTTTGGATTTTTCGATTTCTCAATTTCTCGATTCATCGACTTTTGAATTTTTCGACTTTTCGTCTTTCCGATTTCTCGATTTCTCAAATTTACAATGTTTAAGTTTTGGGATTTTTCATTATGTACATATTTCGATTTTTTAATTTTTATTATTTATTAAAATATTGCTTACATTTTTCGATTTTTCAATTTGTTAATTTTTCGATTTGTTGATGTCTTGATTGCTCGATTTTTTAAATTTTCAATTTTTCGAATTTTTAAATTCTAGGTTTTTTACTTTTTTGTTGTTTCGATTTCTCAATCGTTCGATTTTTTGCCTTCTCATTTTTAGATTTTCCAATTTTTCTGAATTATTTTTCAGATTTTCGATGTTTTGACTTCTCGATCTTTTGATGTTTCGTTTTCGCGATTTTTCGGTTTTTCAATAATATAATTCATCTTTTCGAATTTTCGATTTTCCAGTTTTTCAACGTCTCACTTTTAGGATTTATGTATGTATTTAAATTTTTCGATTTTTCAATTTTTGGCGTTTCTAAATTTTTGGATTTTGCGATTTCTCAAATTTTCAATGTTTAAGTTTTGGGATTTTTCAATGTGTATTTCGATTTTTAATTTTTAGATTTTTCGACTTTCAATTTTTTTTATTACTTGTTACTTATTCGATTTTTCAAAATATTGCGAATTTTTAAATCATACATTTTTCGATTTTTCAGTTTTTCGATTTTTCGATTTGTTGATGCTTTGATTGCCCGAATTTTATTTAAATTTTCAATTTTTCGAATTTTTTTATTTTAGGTTTTTCACTTTTTTGTTGTTTCAATTTCTCAGTCTTTCGACTGTTTGCCTTCTCAACATTTTCATCCATTCGATATTTTAATTTTTGGATTTTTGGATTTTTTAGATTTATAAAATTCCCGATTTTTCATTTTTATATGGGTTTTGACAAAATTTTGATTTCTCGTTGAAAAACGAAACATCACATATTTAAAAAAATTACGCTAGGAGCCCCTAAGATTTTTTAAAATTATTTAAAAAACAAAGATTTTTTATATTAAAAAAAAACACTAGGCACCTACAAGACTTTCTTTTTTAAACGCAAAAAATTGGTCGAAAGGTATTTATTTAGATAGATCTTCCCTCGCCTCTGAAGTAAAAATATATTACTAGTACATGCTTAACTTCAATTGTTTATGTTTATACATCGAAAATATGCGACAATTAAACACCCATCAATAAAATAACCATCAGTCTTATTAAATTGAAATTACAGTTGTTTTTAAATGTTTAGTGTTTTTTTTTTTCTGAATAAACCTCCGCGGCTGCACAGGGGGGACATAAATCAGCTATTTTAAACACGGGACGAAGTGCTTCCGGTTTTATGTTTTCGTTTTATGGTGCATAAATAAACAGGAAATTTTGTTTGAAGTTTTAAAAAAGGTGATAACTTAGTTTTTTTTTTTACAGAAATTCCTGATGTCCCAAGCTGCTGGCCTGCGACCTCAACAAGCCTAATTTTGCGTTTTTGTATGATAACAAAGCTGTAAATTTTGTAAAAACGAATATTAAAAAAATAACTCAAATATATTTCAAAACAAATACAAACTTTACAAAAAAAAAAAACAATATTGAGACTTACGTCTTTTTCCCCCTAACTTTAACCTTAGAAGGGGGCGCACTGGGATTAACCCCCTTGTAAAACTCCTTCAATAGGTTCATAGCTTCCTCAGCTCTCCACCCACCTGTAATCCTAGTAGGCGCCTGTCTAACACTACCAACGTCAAAAACAGTCTGTCCCCCAAATCTGTCATTTTTACAACCAAAAACGACACTGTGCACCCCCAAGTCATACAAAGCATTAATACACATGATACACGGTTCTACAGTCACGTAAACACACACTTGGCGGAACGCCGCCCCCAAATCCAAACCCTTGTCTCTACAATAGTCCGTAACTTGCTCAATACAGTTAATTTCAGCATGTCTGGTGGCGTTCCGACTCTCGTTCACCGTGTTTCGCCCCAGCGCCACAATTTCGTCCTTGTAGACAAAAATACACCCCACAGGGACTTCCTTAGCAGCCAGAGCTTCATACGCGTATTCAAATGCTTTCTCCATGAATTGTTGCTCAGTGTCCGTCAGCTCCATTTTAGTTAGTCATGTACTTCAACAAATCCTCCTTCTTGAAAAACTCCTCCGCTTTCAAGGGCCAGTTCTGGTTATTCTTGACACGCGGACTCGGATGGACCAAATTGAGCACTTTAACGTCACTGTCGTTGTTCTTTAGTGTCAAAATAGCGCGTTTTTCGGCGTAGCGTCCTATCCCTATTATGATTTCCGGGCTCAACAACTGGATGACTTTCCAGAAGTACTGGTCACAGATTCCCTCCAAAATATTAGTGTCCTGTAAACAACGATGAGTAAGTTTTCGCAAAAGTTACGTTTGTACCTTAATGTCGCTGGGGGTCAAGTTACCCCCGTCACTCTTCAACAACGCCAAAGGGCAATAATTATAAACGAAACAATTTTTGAAAAAAACCTCAGGGCTTCCGCACAGCTTTTTGAGGACGTTCCAGAGTCGGTCCCCGCTCACTTCGGATCGGGTGCACGCGAACCCCAACACGGGGCGCTGCGGACACTCTTTCTCGGGCTTTGAGACCTCCTCTTCGATTTCAAGCCAGTCGCGGACTGACTTGATTTCGCCGAACGGCACGCCGGTTTGAACCATGCCGAAGGGGCCGGGGTTCATGCCCACGAAGAGGAGCTTCTTGGGGCCTTGGCAGTATTTTTTGACGTAGGTTTCGTTGGGTTTGAATGCGTATTCGACTGGGTTGTAGACGTAGGCTACAGGGGGCTTGAACTGGAGCGGTTTGAGGGCGGCGTTTAGGTCGAGTTGGATGTTGATGAATTGTTGGGCGAAATCGGGCGATTGGGGGCTGGAGAAGTACCGGGATTTGTCTGGGGGACCTGGAGAGTCGGTTTCGGGGCGCGAGGTTTTGGCGGCGACTTCGCTCTCTTGGGGGGTGGTGGAGGAGGGTTTGGAGAGTTTGCGTTTCAGCATGGTGCGGGTGGTTAATTTACTAACCTTTTCGAGAAATTTCATGAATATTTTGGGTGTTTGGGGTTGGGTGGTCTAACCTCACTTTTTTTAAAAAATGACATTTGGAGTGACGTTTCAGAAAAAAATAACACGTGTCTATGGAGACGCGTGAGGTAGTTTACACAAATTTATAATACCGGCGTTTTTGGAAAAGCAACAAAAACAGATACATTTATTTGTGAATTTTATTTCCAACGAAGAAATGCATTCAGTTTCAAGTGGAACTCAATTATGATATAAAAAATCAAAGTCGTAAGATTTTACAGTTTTTGAGGTTTTTGAAATATGTAACTTTTAATGGTTTTTAAACGTGTATAATAATGTATGGGAGACAAACTATCGCATGCAAAAGTATTGTCGGTACCCAGCAGCGAGGGGTATTAAGCTCCTTCGCCTTCTCTCTCCGGGTTGCCATAATTCCCTAAACACTCAGGTAGAATAACGGACAAGGATTAAAGTTCCCTTGCTTGATTACATAGTACCTTCTTCAGGTAGAAATAACTGTGTTGTAGTATGTTTAATTCAGAAAATACTTTTCTTAAGATAAAAGCGAAAAATCTGTACAAATCGTTATTTATTAATAAAAATGGAAAAATTTATCATGGGTAGATTTTAATTGGAAAGTGGTGTTTTTTTCATCAACCTGACTTAGTGAGAAATCGAATAAACTAACGAATATTGACAATTCGAAAATAAAACAAGACGAAACCTCGGAATTTCTATTTCGATTTTTCGACTTTTCGTGTTTTCGATTTTTTACTTATTCGATTTTTCAAAATATTGCGACTTTTTAAATCGGACATTTTTCGATTTTTCAGTTTTTTAATTTTTGGATTTGTTCTGAATGCTCGACTTTTTCCCAGTTTTTCTAATTTTTAAATTTTAGATTTTTCGATTTTTCGACTTTTTTTAATTAATTTTTCAGTTTTTCGATGTTTCGATCTTTCACTTTTTCGGTTTATTAGTTTGTCGTTTTTTTAAGTTAAAATTTTTCAATTTTGAATTTTCCCATTTCTCAATTTTTCGATCTTTCGACTTCTCGATCTTTTGGGGTTTCGATTTCGCGATTTTTCAATTTTTCAATTTCGATTTCACGATTTCTCGGTTTTTCGATTTTTTGTCATTTCAGTTTTAGAATTTTACACTTTCTCGATTCTTCAATTTTCCGATTTCTTGTTACCGTTTTTTGTTGTCTTTTTTGTTGTATTTTTTGCTCGCTTTTTGGCTACTTTTCTTGTGCCTTTGTTGTCCGTTTTTGTCGGTTTTTTTCTATCGCATTTACTTAAGGATTGTCGCTTTTTTATTCGTTTCTTTGGAAGCGTTTTTTTTGTCTTTTTTCTCGCCCTTTTTGGTCGTTTTTGTGTGTTTTTGCTATCGGTTTTTTATTGCCGTTTTTATTGTTTTTACTTCCCGAGCGTAAGCAAAGGAAGTATTGTAATTGAGTCCGTCGGCCGACTCTCTACTTTTACGTTTTCTCGATTTTTCATGACCCCTAAAAGACAAAGAAATAGGTCTCTCATTTCCGTCTGTCTGTCCGTCTGTCCGTCTAATCACTAATTACTAATTACTAATCACGAATCACGAATCACGAATCACTAATCACCAATCACTATTCACGAATCACTGATCACTAATCACGAATCACTAATCACGAATCACTAATCACGAATCACTAATCACGAATCACTAATCACGAATCACTAATCACGAATCACAAATCACGAATCACTAATCACTGATCACGAATCACGAATCACGAATCACAAATCACGAATCACTGATCACTAATCACGAATCACTAATCACGAATCACCAATCACTAATCACGAATCACGAATCACTAATCACTAATCACTAATCACGAATCACGAATCACCAATCACTAATCACGAATCACTAATCACCAATCACTAAACACTGATCACTGATCACTAATCACTAATCACGAATCACTAATCACTGATCACTAATCACGAATCACTAATCATGAATCACTAATCACGAATCACAAATCACAAATCACGAATCACTAATCACTGATCACTAATCACGAATCACGAATCACGAATCACTAATCACGAATCACGAAATCACGAAATCACGATCGGTGAATCAGAATCGACTTCTCGTTTTTAGTTTTTCGATGTTTCGATTTTTCACTTTTTCGGTTTATTATCGTTTTTTAAGTTCAAAATTGAATTTGAATTTTGAATTTTCCCATTTTTCGATTTTTAGCCACTTTCATTTCTCAATTTTTCGATATTTCGACTTCTCGATCTTTTGATGTTTCGATTTCGCCATTTTTCAATTTTTCGATTTCGATTTCACGATTTCTCAGTTTTTAGATAATTCATCCTCTCAGTTTTTCGATTTTTGAATTTTTCGATTTTTTTTGTCATTTCAGTTTTGGAATATTACACTTTCTTAATTCTTCAATTTTCCGATTTTTTAAATTTTGAATTTTTTGATCTCTCCGTTTATCAATTTTTCGACTTCTCGGCTTTTTCAATTTTCCACTTTTTTAATTTTTCGTTTTTTTAAATTTTGGATTTTTTCATTTTTCAACTTCTCGGCGTTTGGATTTAGCAATTTTTCGATTTTTAAGTTTTATATCTTTCAATTTTTAGATTTTTTGATGATTCGATTTACCGATTCTTCGATTACTCCATATTTTAATTTTTCAATTTTTTAAACTTTACACTTTTCAATTTTTCGTACTCTCCGATTTTCAGTTTTTCAGATATTTATATTTTTCAAATTTTCGAATTTTTTATCTTTCGGTTATTGATTTTTGAATTTTTCAATTTTACGATTTTTTGATTCCATTTCTTCGGTTTTTGGATTTTAAAAACTTTTCGACTTTCCGATTTTTCAACATTTCAGTTTTGAGAATTTTTCAATTTCTGGATTTTTCAATTTTTGGATGTTCTGATTTTTCGATTTTCAGTTTTTTCATTTTGTCGCTTTTATTTATTTTATTTTACTCGATACTCGGATGTTTCCATTCTTCCATTGTTCGATTTCTGGATAATTTGATTTCCCAATTTTTCGTCATTCCAGTTTTGGAATTTTTCAATTTCTCGAGTTTTCAGATTCTTCTAATTTTTTTCAATTTTGGATTTTTCGGTTTTCCGATTTTTCGAATTTTCGGCTTTTCGACTTTTTGGTTTTCCAATTTTCCGTCATTTCAGTTTGGAAATTTTACAATGTATCGAGTTTTCAGTTTTTCAATTTTTGGCGTTTCTAAATTTTTGGATTTTTCGATTTCTCAATTTCTCGATTCATCGATTTTTTAATTTTTCGTCTTTCCGATTTCTCGATTTCTCAAATTTACAAAGTTTAAGTTTTGGGATTTTTCATTATGTACATATTTCGATTTTTTAATTTCTAGTTTTTTCAAAATATTGCTTACATTTTTCGATTTTTCAGTTTCTTAATTTTTCGATTTATTGATGTTTTGATTGCTCGATTTTTTAAATTTTCAATTTTTCGAATTTTTAAATTCTAGGTTTTTTACTTTTTTGTTGTTTTGATTTCTCAATCGTTCGATTTTTTGCCTTCTCATTTTTAGATTTTCCAATTTTTCTGAATTAATTTTTCAGTTTTTCGATGTTTTGACTTCTCGATCTTTTGATGTTTCGTTTTCGCGATTTTTCAGTTTTTCGATAATATAATTCATCTTTTCGCATTTTCGATTTTCCAGTTTTTCAACGTCTCACTTTTAGGATTTATGTATTTAAATTTTTCGATTTTTCAATTTTTGGCGTTTCTAAATTTTTGGATTTTGCGATTTCTCAATTTCTCGATTTCTCAAATTTTCAATGTTTAAGTTTTGGGAATTTTCAATGTGTATTTCGATTTTTAATTTTTACATTTTTCGACTTTCAATTTTTTTTATTACTTGTTACTTATTCGATTTTTCAAAATATTGCGAATTTTTAAATCATACATTTTTCGATTTTTCAGTTTTTCGATTTTTCGATTTGTTGATGTTTTGATTGCCCGAATTTTATTTAAATTTTCAATTTTTCGAATTTTTTTATTTTAGATTTTTCACTTTTTTGTTGTTTCGATTTCTCAGTCTTTCGACTGTTTGCCTTCTCAACATTTTCATCTATTCGATATTTTAATTTTTGGATTTTTTAGATTTTTAAAATTCTCGATTTTTCAGTTTTATATGGGTTGTGACAAAATTTTGATTTCTCCTTGAAAAACGAAACATCACATATTTAAAAAAATTACGCTAGGAGCCCCTAAGATTTTTTAAAATTATTTAAAAAAAAAAGATTTTTTATATTAAAAAAAACACTAGGCACCTACAAGACTTTCTTTTTTAAACGCAAAAAATTGGTCGAAAGGTATTTATTTAGATAGATCTTCCCTCGCCTCTGAAGTAAAAATATATTACTAGTACATGCTTAACTTCAATTGTTTATGTTTATACATCGAAAATATGCGACAATTAAACACCCATCAATAAAATAACCATCGGTCTTATTAAATTGAAATTACAATTATTTTAAATGTTTAGTGTTTTTTTTCTCTGTGTGCTTTTAAGATACAATCAGAATTTTGGATAGATAATCCTCTACGTCTCCTGGGATTGACAAGATTTTTATTAGGATGCTATGACTCATTTCTGTGTAGACCAGAAATAAGAACAAAATAAACACCGAATTTCTGGGAAAATTAGTTAAATGGTTTCTAGTAAAAGATTATTCTTAATCACAACATAATTGGTCTTTCAAGTATAACCCGTTTATTTATGAGGGGTGACGTTAAGCTCTTTCGGTGATGTGTATTTACCTGCTCTCATCCCCAATAAGCCAGAAAATTTTCTGTAATTACTCAGCTTGTAAAATATTTTCGAATATGTTTTTCAGCATGTGATTTAAAGCTTATTTATTATGTGATTTTGATTTTCCAAAAAGAAATCTATTTTAGAAGAAATTACTACAGATGTGCGGAAGCAAAATTTGTAATCGAATTCACCTTTGGAAAAAGAGGATAAATTCTTCAAAATTTTGACTTTTTTAATAAAAGCTATCTTTGGAAAAACAGGGTAGATTTCATAAAATTTGGTTTTTACCCTATTTTTAAAGAATTTTTTCTTGAAAAAGTTGTGTGCTGAAGGGGTGTATTGTTTTTATTTATAATAGATAATTCATCTATTGTGTTTTTGAGAAAACTTAACAAATACGTCAATATAATGTACAAATAGCTTGTTTGTTTGTTGTAATAGAAATTTAAATAAACAAAAGTCGCATACAGAAATTCCTTCCTCTCTAAACAATGACTCATTAAAGCTTAAAATCGCGTTTTATGTGGCACATTCTTGTGATAAGAACAGCAATTTCACAATTCTCAAATAAAGAATTATTCCGTTATCAATATAATGAAAACAGTTAGCTATGATAAAAGTGGAAACACCCATAACGATCTGCGTCTAACGTTGGTGACGTCAGCGGAACTCTGCAACCCGACGCCAACGAGATTCTTCTAGAATTTTTTCCAAATCTCAATTTCCGCCGAATTTCAGACAAGGAAATCATTGCCATTCCTCTTTTCGTGAAAAGAATAGTCATTTCCCGTCGATTTATGCCAATTTTGACCCTACTACGCCGCAAATCTCGGATCTGCTTTTCCCTCCACCGCGTAGGATTACAACTTCTGGCGTGACCTCTCTATATAAGCGAGCGCGTCATCTCCCGTCGCCATTTTGTGGTGGTCGCCGACGAGTGAAGAGTGCAGTTCTGTGCAAGCTCCGTCCCCTGTCCTCGGGCTGCATTCTCCAGAAATCAGGCACTGTAGAAACCGTAATCAGGTGTGTTATCACTAACTTTCAAAAACAAGCGCTGATAAGAGGAGATTTTTTGAAAAAAATTTGTGAAAATTTTCCGTATGGGTTGCTCGGTTGGCCACAAAGAGAGCACGGTAAATTCGTTATGCGATTGGATCAATAAAGTAAAATTCAAGAAAACAAATTGCAAACAGCGAAAGCGTAGAAATCTCCTCGTTCAGGCTGTTTTATCGAGCGCCCTTTCGCGGGCCGAACACGAATTAAAAATGAAGCAACAAGAGCGAAGACTGAGGTGGGAGCTGATCAAGGCCAAGGTGACGGAGAAGGTCGACTGTTCCAAGGACGTGCGGTGGGACGAGTCCGTCTGCGAGGAGATCAACACGAGTCTCGATCACTTCATGAGCCAAATGAAATTAGTGCAATTTTCGAAAGCTTGATTTTGACACACTAGCTTAGAAGATCTCGATGTGATAATTATTCTGTGATTTTACGGAGTTTTTTCATTGCAGTCACCTGGGGGGTCCACTGTCCGAATCTGGTAGCCTGGATTGTGCCCGTATTCGGTTTGTAATGTATCACTCTATGTACAAATTAATTTAAGTTTGAATCGATTAAGTAGCATTTGTAAGACTAGTATTTTTCCAATTTGATCTAATAAAAAAAACAAAAGAGTTGAGTAGTTTTCGCATCTGCTCCTGTTGTTCCTGTGTACTAATTGTTTTGAATTTACATGTGAGCCGAGTCCTGCTGGTAAAGGTACCTTCAGAAAGCGACTTAGCCATTACACCCAGAAAGCACGTTGCGCACGGCTAGGGCGACACCCACTGGTAAACAAACCCACGAAGTATCCCTCCTCGACACCACCTGTTCATTTTTTGTGAACATCAACGTGGCGCCCGAAGTTCACAAATAATAAACAGCGGTGCTGCACGTTTCTGTATGGATGAATGCTAGCGGATGAATCTTTCTGTAGGGCGGCAGCCGAGCTACGCCTTTTCGAAAGCTGCTGACGCTATAAGTAGAGGAATGGAACACTTTCCGTTACTTGCTCGAACTCTGTCGGACATACGTACTGCAAAAACGTGCCCTTTGGGGATGTTCGAGTAACGGTAAAGTACCTTTTGGTCCTAACTGTTAGCCACTTGAAGTGGCCTGTTTGGAGTTGTGTTTGGTTATTTTTTGTCAGGTGATTGGACGCTGGTCATGAGCGGCCAGGCGAATTAAGCGCTGAGGATTGCGGTAAAAGGCTTGCTGTATCTAACCTAATCGTCGAAGTTAGAAAGCGAAAGGCGATTTATCAAGTTGCGTCAATGCTGTTGAATTTTAATACGGAGGAGAAAGCTGCTCATGCAGGATAAAATGGGTCAGGTATTTGTAATGAGTTTGAGTTTTACGTGAATTTTCAGGATTTATGAGAAGACGCTATTCTAATAATTAATACAATAAAGTATCAGATTTTATTTGAAGAGTAATAGATTTGTTTAAAATTTCACGCAAATGTTCGTAACAGTTTTAAGTAACTCAATAGTCGCAAATAGAAAAGTACGTAACGTCGTCGTTCTTCAAGTTCACGAAGAGGACAGGATAAAGGAGCATGTAAGCATTTGAACGTGGACACAGGATTTTTTTCAGGACTTCAGTTAGAAGAACTTTGTCTTTATTAATATGTAAAGTAATTTAAACCACAATTTCTTTAAAGTTGAGCTGCAGGTAATGTTTTACAAAAAGTTACGAATATTTGCAGATGTTGAGTTTCGAAGAAATTTATTTTGCAACTCAAATAAAAGTGCACTAGAAAGTAATATGCAAGTAAAACCGGAATCTTTGATTACAAATTTCTCACTATGGAGTTCTTTGAAAATCGACAACCGGTAGTTTTTACAATGCAAGGTAGTGCGATTTAAATTTTAATAGGAAGAAAGAATGCTCGACGCGATAGGAGGTAGGCTGTGGGAGCTTCTTAAATCCGACTAACATGGATGAAGAAACAGGTACTAAGTAAATCGAATGTGCTAGCATTAATACAAACATAATTTGCTAAATGTTTTAACAATAACCATGTGCTCGTGACCGCGTCGAAGTAAAGTTTTGTAGATTACGTAACTTGCAATCACAAAATGCACCGTGTGCGGGCAGAATTTTTCCATTGTGCTTCAGTATTGTGACGTCAACACTTCCACTCGAACGAAGTAGCCCATTTTTAAGTTCTTTCGCATGTTGGACTCGAAGAATGGTAAAATTTGTGCCCCCAATCCTACAACTGTTGCAGCAATAAGTGCTTCCCACATCATTATTTCGCATTACATGGCATTAGAATAGATGATCGCAGTTCCATCACTAGTTACGCAATTATTAAGGACATACAGCCTAAGAAAAGGAGGTTTAGGTACTGTATGCATGCAAAACATTTAATGTTTGTAGGTTTTGATAAAGCCATGAATCGAATAACGTGCAATCACGACGAGAAACGACGATCAACTTTCAGGACACTCGTTACAAATACACGATTGATAAAATCGCAAGTATTTTTGCAATATCGAAATTGCTCTTGTTCCAGAATTTGCTAAACACGAGGTTATAAATGTCCAGAAAAAGATATTTTCCTTTGTAATTTATATAATATGACTAGATTTAATCAAGCTTTCAAGTACTGGGAATATCCCACTTCAACCGTAACCACATTCGCAAAATAATTTTTTATAGATTTATTTTATTATCGACGCAAAATTGAAGTCGCATCCTAGAATATAAGAAGTTCTCGGCAAATAGTTAGAATAAACGAATGTACAGTTCAAGAAGTTTCCGCTCTTATTAATTAGGAACAATACAACTTTGAGGGATTGAACAAACGGTGCCAGGTATTCAAACATGTAGACCACCTGCGTTATTAGTTGTAGGAATTTTTCCACCAACGGTTTCTCATCTCATAAGAAGGCTCGAAATTGCGTCATTTCGGTTACCCATTGATGAAATCTCGCCGTCTACATTATACAGGACTACAATCGCAAGTATTCTTGGAATATCCCCAAGTGTGCTTCTTCTTATAGGATCATCGGTTTGTTCATTCCCCACGGTATTAAAAGTTTACAAAGCCATCGCCAAAACTCCTTTCTATTTATACAACAATGGAGCTGAGAACCAAAGCAATGTCGCTATCATGGCCACCGTGAATTGCAAGTATTCTTTACACCTAGAGCATCGCAAAGTGTCCCTTGTTCCAGACTACTAAATACGTTGGAAAGCTGTCCCTTGTCAGTCGCAAAAGGTTTTCTACTTATATACCGTCATTTGCCGCCCAAACAACTAAAAATTGCGCAAGTATTTTTGCAAATACGAGTATTGTAGGATTAAAATCGTGATAAACAACGAGCTGCATGCAAATCTAGCTAAATTACGATTAGATTCTCTTGATTCGAGGATCCCATCGCTAACGTATGTTGTTCGCTTGGTTGTGGATAGTAGTAACTGATTGTAGATCGCACGATGAAGTGGCCAAACATCAATTATTAGTCGATCGCTCAACTCTTCAGAATAAACCCGAGGCAAAATCAAAATCCTTCAGTGACAAGTGTTTTCGCGCACCAAATTATAAGTGAAGGTATTTCATACGTCGTGTCCACAAAACCGTTGTTTGCAGATCGCATCGACGTTTCTTCTCAATGAAAATTCGTCAAGCTAAATACGGAAAGTGCGTACGTGACTCGCTGCATCTTTAGTCTTCTACCACAGTCGGGTCATCCCTCTACATTATCTTCAATTTCCGTCGCGAAGTATCACAATATGTGTTCAAACTCGACGTTAAGTTTCGTGGTTCCAGATTTAAACAGGATTCACATTCCATCGAAGACGCAAATCGAGTCACAGTTCCTCCCAAGTTCGGCCGTCTCAGCTATATCAACAACGATCAATAGTTTTTACATCCAACTTGTGACGAGTCAAGAAAGTCGTTGAAACGTGTTTGTTCGGTCTTCACTTTTCGTCGCAAAGTATCACTGTATGTGTTCAAACTCGACGTTAAGTTTCGTGGTTCCAGGATTCGCATTTCAAGGAAGACGCAAATCGAGTCACAGTTCCTCCCAAGTTCAACTATATCATCGATTAATAGTTTTACAGTCAACTTGTGATGTCCAAGAAAATCGTTGAAACGCGTTGATTCGGTGCATTCTTCGGTCAACCTGAATCGCGAAGTATCATTATTTTTTTCAACGCAGAACTACAAATTGATGATTGCAGATCCAAATAGTCGGTCTTTTGCGATCAAGAATCGACGGGGCGTTGCTGCAGAAGAAACGTCGGTCGTTAGACACCGCAAGTATATTTACAATATCGCAAAGTTGTATAGTTTTTAGAAGTCAAGTTCTGAGACAACGGCCACGTTAGTACGGTTTTATTTCTACCGGCACCCGTGACACCGACAAGGTTTGTCAATACAATAACATGAATGTTCACAGAATTGAAAATGCAAAAGTGATTACGTCATCAATATAGTGTACAGGAATTTTTATAATTTTGCGCCCGTGTAAAACAAATTTTTCACTGCGATGCTGTAGGTTCTCAAGAAGCAACTTTAATCAACCGAATGAGAGCGTGAACGAGTTTATATTGGCACGTGATGTCACTGAAGCACTGCAGGGTCTTCATTATAGAAATATTGAGCAAAATTAACAGCAAGCCTACAACCGCAGGTATTCGTAAACGTCAAAAACACAAGTTGTTTTAGAATGATAAAAGCCAAGTTTAAATGCGGCGCACGATTCCACATCTTATTCTTTTTCGTAAATGATCTACACTTTCTACAAAAGGCAGCAAGAATTCACCATGGAACAAAATCTCATTACCTGAGTATCTGATCTTTTGTGTTCGCACCTATCGTGAAAAACTATATTTTATAGTCGCCAACCACAAACCACTAGAGGTAGTTCGTCCCCAAATCATAAACATCTGTCAAATACAGAGGCAATTAATTGAATCATCCTGAAGAAAAGATCACCGAGAATCCGACTCTATTATCACAGTAAGATACATACAGTAGGCCACAAATTCATTGTTCCTAGGACCACAACCGTCCCCACAACTTGATTGATTTCTTCATCTATCATGAAGACGACTCGGACAAATTGTGACTTGACGTAGACCCCCACTTTCGTCATTATAGATTCGGACTCTTTATCTTCTCTTCAGGATAATTACTACTAGCAACTTGCTTCGCTTTCAACGTCAATGTACCATCAGGTAACCTGAAGTAGAGAAAGCACCGCCTTATATTTTTTAGAACAAATCTTACCAACCTCAAATGCGCCCGTTCTCTTCATTGAAAAATACTTGGAAAATCTTAATCGAAACAAAACGAAAAGTCGCCCAAAGCCGTTAATGCGCAGGTTAGTGCACTTGAAGTACGCAAATCCGGTAGTTGTAGTCCCAAAGAATCGAAACGTGCTGAACTGGTACCTATGAAGTACACTACTCACCTAATTCGCTGCCCCCTCCATCCCCCCTAGCACCGTTTTTAACATTTCAACAGGAAAAGACGAGCAGGAAAGGATCGACGTACGCGAAGGTATTTAACGATTGTTATTGAAATTAAATGTTTTGACGAATTAAATTGATAGTGGCCCGAGGACAGGATCTCTGGACATCGCACTCCATCTGCCCCCACCGACACCACCATCAGTCACTAATAAAGCGTTGAAATCATTTGTTGTAACTGCTCCATCCAGATTGTCAGCCGTGGTTTCCTGAGTAGCAGCTGTAAAATTCGTCAGAGCGTTGAAAATAAAACCTTTTGTGAAAATTCTGCGTATTTTTTCCTGGTGATTGCATTTCAGGAGAAAATTTTTTCTTGGACGTCAGAGGTAAGTCGCATCTTTTGTCAAAGAATTTTTGTTATATGCAACAATTTTAGGAAGATTTCGAGGATTGAAGATTGAAACGTCATGGTTGAAGAGGATTGTGTGAATCCAGATTCAATAAAGGTAAAAAAAAGTTTTAAAATTGCTTGAAATTTCATTGTTATATTTTAGAATCTTCAATGGATTCGTAAGTATCCGGTTTCCAATTTTTTCGGGAGCAATAGCGTTGGTTTCTGCTGTAATTATCGAAACAAAAGTTCGGTCGTCAATTCCGGTTAGAAAAAAAAAACATCGTTGGATTTGAAATGGAAGAACGAAGATTGTTTCAAGGAGCTGGAGGAAGTACAACGGTGAAGATTGAAGAGGTTCGACGAGAAGAAAGAAGACTGCGACGGATCATCGGTTTCCAGGAAGATGAAGAACGAAGAGGATTTATCGAACAATTGAGGATGGATACTTCGTGGGATTAGAAGAGGATCGAGCCCGAGAAGACTGAAGATGATTTCATGGGAATCGGAAGAGGACCGGCTGATATTCGTGGAACAACGGAAGATATCGAAGGATGAAGAAAGAAGAACGCTCTTTGATTAGCGGATGAAGAACAACTTCCGGGAGATGAAAGGTTCAATAGACCGATGAAGATTTCGTGCGGTCAGAAGAATGAAGAAAGCTTCGAAGATTTCATGAGAATGTCGGCAAAAGAAGAGGATTTTTTAGAAGAGGATGGATATGAGTGTTGAGGAAAACGAAGATGAAGAAGAAGGAACAGGATCTACTTTCAAGAGGAACAGAGTATGTTGCGTCGAGGGAGAAAATTGTTTCAAGAAGGAAAACATCGAGTGGAAAATAGAAGATTTTTCGTGATTCAGCGTCATTAAGGTACTGTTTGCCCAAATTGTAAAGTATGAAAATTCAATGATATTTATTTCAGATCGTGTCGTAAGTATCCTGCTTTGTCTTTGGGTATTCACTAGGTACAACATTAACCGGAAATGACTGAATCATGGAAATTACACACTTCATAATGATAAGAAGACAACTAACTCCAAGGAAGACAGAAGAATGAAGAGGATTTCGACTATGAAGGGGATTTTGCGTGTCAAAAGAGTACTATAGATTTCGTGGGAATGAGATCAACGTTCAGAGGAATGAAGACTGAAGATGGTTATGCGTCGAACAGAAAACATCGACTTGCAGTGAAGCAGAAGAATGAAGATTTTTCCTGGGATTAGTTTAAAGAAGACGAAAATTTTGGATTTTCTCCTAAGATATACACATAAACGAAGAAGGTTTTTAAGATGTGAAAAAAATCTACGTGGAAGAAGGCAGAAGGAGGTAAATTTCGCGTCAAATTGTAAGATACAAAAATTTAGTAGGGTTAATTTCAGATCAGTTGTTGGCCCGTAAGTATCCGGTTCGAATTTCTTTGGGTATTCAGTAGTTACAGCATAAATCGAAAACAACGAACAGCGAAGATATTCGTCATCAAAATTAGAAGACCAGCTCCAACTTAAAAGGACGGAAGGGTGAAGACTGAAGATAGCGACGTGAGCATCAAAAGAGCATCGTGTAAGAAGGCAGAAAATGAAGAGTTCGTGGAAATCCGAAGAAGACGACAGTTTCACTGAAGAATGGAGAACGAAGATCGCAGAAGAGGACCAACATCTACGAAGATTGAAGAATGGAGGCTACGCAGCGACCAGAAGAGGTGCAACTTTTACGAGGATCGAAGAGTTGAAGACTTCGCGGCGACGAGAAGAGGCTCGACTTACGCAACCATTACGAACATCAAAAGATGAAGATAAACTTCCACGGTATTTGAAGAATGAAGACTTCACAGCGACAAGAAGAGGATTGACTTCACGGGGATTGAAGAATGAAGACTCCACGGCAACAAGAAGAGACTCAACTTCTACGGGTACTGAAAAATGGAGGCTCAGTCGCGTTCAGAAGATCAACTTCCACGGAGATCGTAGACGAAAGGAGAATGCATTTCGACAGAAACTGAAGAATTGAGGCTTCGCGGCGATCAGAAGGGTTTCGACTTCCCAAGACTGAAGATTCGGCGGCGACCAGATCGACTTCCATGGAGATTGAAGAGAGAAGACTTCGCGGTGTCCAGAAGAGGCTCAACTTCGACAAGGAATGAAGAATGGAGGCTTCGCAACGGTCAGAAGAGGATGATTTTCATGGGGATTGAAGAACGAAGACTTCGCGACGGTCAGAAGAGGATCGACTTTCATGGGGATTGAAGACTTCGCGGTGTTCAGAAGAGGATCGACCTTCAAGGGATCGAAGAATGAAGACTGCGGCGACCAGCTTCGAAGGGGATTGAAGAACGAAGACTTCGCGATGGTCAGAAGATGATGGACTTCCAGGGTATTGAAGACTGAAGACTTCGCGGCGATCAGAAGAGGATCGACTTCCAGGGGATTGCAGATGAAGACTTCGCGGCGACCAGAAGAGGCTCAACTTCGACGGAGATATAAGAACGAAAGCTTCGAAACGGTCAGAAGATATCGATTTCCATGGGGATTGAAGAACGAAGACTTCACAGCGACCAGAAGAGGCTCAACGCAACGAATGGAGGCTTCGCGGTGATCAGAAGAGGATTGACTTCCAGGAGATTGAAAAATGAAGACTTCGCGACGATCAGAAGAGGATCGACTTCCAGGAGATTGAAGAACGAAGACTTCGCAGCGACCAGAAGCGGCTCAACTTCGACGGGGAATGAAGAATGGAGGCTTCACGGCGACCAGAAGAGGCTCAACTTCGACGGGGAATGAAAAGTGGAGGCTTTGCGGTGACCAGAAGATCGACTTCCAGGGGGTTGAAGAAGACTTCGCGGCGATAAAAAGCGGCTCAACTTCGACGGGGAATCCAGAATGGAGGCTTCGTGGTGATCAGAAGAGGATCAACTTCCAGGGGATTGAAGAATGGAGGCTTCGTGGCGACCAGAAGAGGATCGACTTCCAGGGGATTGAAGAATGAAGACTTCGCGGGGACCAGAAGCAGCTCGACTTCGACAGGGAATGAAGAATGGAGGCTTCGTGGTGATCAGAAGAGGATCGACTTCCCGGGATTGAAGAATGGAGACTTCGCGGCGACCAGAAGAGGATCGACTTCCAGGGATTGAAGAATGAAGACTTCGCGGCGACCAGAAGAGGCTCGACTTCGACGGGGAATGAAGAATGGAGACTGGGACGATCAGAAGAGGACCGGGCGAAAACGAGAAATTGCATATGTTTTAGATTCAGGTAATAATCCATTAAATTATAAAATGAGAAATACTGGCAATGTAAATTTCAGGCCACGGAGGTATTGTTACTTCGAATTTATTGTGGGTATGGATCAACTCCCAACTTAAGGGAGACGGAGATGTAGGAGAACTTCGTAGAAATCTGAAAACCAACTTCTACTTCGGGAGAAAAGAATTTCGGTAAAGGAGAGAACAAATACTTCGTATGTGCCAGTAGAGGCTTCATTTCATAGAGTAAGGAATAAAAATGGCGTCGAAAATCAAAAATGAAGACATGAGAATCGCCAGAAGGTAGTTCTAGAGCATGGAGGAAAAGAAAAAATGACGAGAACTTATTGGAAAACCAAAGGTCAAATTCCAGAAGAGCGGAAATTTGAAAACAGCCACAACGAAAATTGCTGCGGCGACAACAAAGAAAGAAGCTTCACAGGAACCAAAAGGGCGGAAGAGGGAAGACATTTAGCACGAAAATGAAGAAGGAATAAAAGACCATAAATACTGTAGGAACAAATCACGACGAACAACAACTCATGAAGATATAAAATGGAAGATGTTAACAGGATTCATTTTTAATGAGGTAGAGTAGGAAGTTATTTTATGAAATAAGAATTTAATTATGTACGTCATTTTCAGATCTCTTTGTTACTGGGCCGGAAGTATCTGACTTTGAATTTTTCCAGTGCTCATTAAGTGGGAGTGGTAGAAACAAGAGATGAACGAATAGGGAAGAAGGAAATTATTGTACGTTCGAATTTTTCCACATTCAGGATAAAAAACGAAACTATGAAAATAACTAGAAGAGATAAATGAAGCAAACTCCTGAAAGATGTCATCTGATTTGGAAGAAAGAAGATTATAGAAGAAAAAGAACGCAAACTGCTTCATATAAGGAAGTTTGGGGAACAAAAAAACAACGAAAATAACCGTAGATAATTGAACATTTTCATCTACCGGTACTATTCCAACTTCCAATTTTTATGACTGAAAAGGACACTTGGATGTTGAAAAACAAAGAGAAGAGAAGCAACATTTCAAAGAGAATGAAGACACATTGATGCAAAGTAGAAGAAACTATTCTTGAAGAAGCAAGAAGAGGACTAGATTATAAAATATGGAAACCAGAAAAGAATGCAGTTTCAGAATTGATGATGTTGTGGAAAGCAGACAAATAATCCTTTCCAGAATGCAAAAATGAATACAGTTCTAGAATTAACGGAGTCGTGGAACACATAGAAGAATCTCCCTCAGAAACCGAGAATCAATACAGTTTCAGAATTGACAATGTTGTGGAAGATAGGCCAGAATTCAAAAATGAATGCAGTTTCAGAATTCACGGAGTCATGGAAACATAGAAGAATCTCCCTCGGAATGTGAGAATGAATACAGTTTCAGAATTGATGATATTGTGGAAGACAGACAAGAATCCCTTCCAGAATCTCGGAAAACAGTTTCAGAATTAACAATGTTGTGGAAGACACCAAATTTCAAGAATGAATACAGTTTCAGAATTGACAATGTTATGGAACACAGACAAGAATTCCCTTTCAGAATCCAAGAATGAATACAGTTTCAGAATTCACGCATTCGTGGAAGACAGACGAGAATCCTTTCCAGAATGCAAAAATGAATACAGTTTTAGAATTGACGGAGTCTTGGAAGACATAGAAGAATCTCTCAGAATCCGAGAATGAATACAGTTTCAAAATTGATGTTGTGGAAGACAGAAAAATCCCTTCCAGAATAAATACAGTTTCAGAATCGACGATGTGGAAGACAGGCCAAAATTCCCTTCCAAAATTCAAGAGTGAATATAGTTTTAGAATCGACGATGTGGTGGAAGACAGACCAAAATTTAAGAATGAATACAGTTTTAGAATTGACGAAGTTGTGAAAGACATACAAGAATCTCCTTCAGAATCCGAGAATGAATACAGTTTCAAAATTGATGATATTGTGGAAGACAGACGAGAATCCCTTCCAGAATCTCAGAAGACAGTTTCAGAATTAACAATGTTGTAGAAGACACCAAAATTCAAGAATGAATACAGTTTCAGAATTGACAATGTTGTGGAACACAGACAACAATTCCCTTTCAGAATCCAAGAATGAATAAAGTTTCAGAATTCACGCATTCGTGGAAGACAGACAAGAATCCTTTCCAGAATGCAAAAATGAATAGTTTTAGAATTGACGGAGTCGTGGAAGACAGAAGAATCTCTCAGAATCCGAGAATGAATACAGTTTCAAAATTGATGTTGTGGAAGACAGAAAAATCCCTTCCAGAATAAATACAGTTTCAGAATCGACGATGTGGAAGACAGGCCAAAATTCCCTTCCAAAATTCAAAAGTGAATATAGTTTTAGAATCGACGATGTGGTGGAAGACAGACCAAAATTTAAGAATGAATACAGTTTCAAAATTTATGTTGTGGAAGACAGAAAAATCCCTTCCAGAATAAATACAGTTTCAGAATCGACGATGTGATGGAAGACAGGCCAAAATTCAAGAATGAATACAGTTTTAGAATTGACGAAGTTGTGGAAGACATACAAGAATCTCCCTCAGAATCCGAGAATGAATACAGTTTCAAAGTTTATGGAAGACAGAAAAATCCCTTCCAGAATAAATACAGTTTCAGAATTGACGAAGTTGTGGAAGACATACAAGAATCTCCTTCAGAATCTAAAAATGAATACAGTTTCAGAATTGACTGGAGTTGTGGAAAAGATAGAAGAATCTCCCTCAGAATCTGAGAATGAATACAGTTTCAAAATTTATGTTGTGGAAGACAGAAAAATCCCTTCCAGAATAAATACAGTTTCAGAATCGACGATGTGGTGGAAAACAAACCAAAATTCAAGAATGAATACAGTTCCAGAATTGACGAAGTTGTAGAAGACATACTAGAATCTCCTTCAGAATCCAAAAATGAATACAGTTTCAGAATTGACGGAGTGGTGGAAGACAGAAGAATCTCGCTCAGAATCCGAGAATGAATACAGTTTCAATATTTATGTTGTGGAAGACAGAAAAATCCCTTCCAGAATAAATACAGTTTCAGAATCGACGATGTGGTGGAAGACAAACAGAATCCCTTCTCAGAATTGAAGAATGAATACAGTTTCAAAATTGACGAAGTTGTAGAAGGTAGACAAATAATCCTTTCCAGAATGCAAAAGTGAATACAGTTTCAAAATTGATATTGTGGAAGACAGTGGAGAAGAATCCCTTCCAGAATCCAAGAATGAATACAGTTTCAGATTTGATGAAGTTGTGGAAGACAGAAGAATCTTCTTCAGAATCCAAAGATGAATACAGTTTCAGAATTGACGGAGTCGTGGAAGACAGAAGAATCTCCCTCTGAATCCAAGAATGAATACAGTTTCACAGAAGATGGACGTTCGTGCGTCGGTGAAGAAATATACAAGCCACCCTTAAATGCTTAAAAACTACTTATAATTTTAATGAAGAAATTTCTCTGGATGTTTACACGCCCAGAGAAAACTGCCACATTGGAGTGGACAGCAAGGAAGAAAATTAAACTAACTGGGAGGAAGAATGGAAACTAAAGTTAATCAAATATTAATGGAGACTGGATATACCGTTATTTCATAGCTTTTGAAAACAAAATGGCGAGGAGAAGAATATAAAAACTTCTGAATGAAAATAAAATCAAACGCAGAGAAAAGAAGAGAAAGAAACAATTCGACGTAGAAGACAACCTACATAACCTGAAGAGGACTCGACGCGAGGGAAAACGGAGGAAGAAAGAAGAGGAATCGACGTGGAAGAATGAAGCACGGGGATAAGAAGATGGAAGAAAGAAGAGTGAAGACGAAGAATGTGAAGGTAGGACATCTAATGAACATCGACGTGTAAGAAGACTGAAGAAAGAATATGCTGCAACATGCAAACTCAAGAACAACTTAACATGAAGAACAAAAAAATTTGACGCTGAGGAAGACGGAAGAATGAAGATGCTGCAGAGATTGGAATTTCATAACGATGAAAAATGAAAAGTGAAACAAATTCTAAATCCTGAAAGTAATTGAAAGGCGTGAATACGAAACCAAAAGAATAAGGAGTACCATCTGGCAATGAAACGTTGACGGCATACAATTTAGAAAACTACCCGCATTTGTAACAATAAGGTAAATAATGTTAACAATTATTATTTCAAAACTAATTTTTCTTTTTGCCCTAACAGAAATACCATCCAGGGAATGGCATCTACTTCAATAAAAAAAACATGGACAAAACGAGAACATCACGTCTTCTAAATATAGTTGATTTTTTGTAATTTATAATTTTTTAGTGTCAAATTTTGTATTACATTTTGATTAAATTTATTTACCTATTTACACGTATTGTAATTTTTTTATGAATAAAGTAGCCCTAGTTGAAAGATTTATTATGATTTACTAATAAAAATTAGTGATGATATTTACGTGTAATTAATTCCAACTAGTGTATTTTTTGTACTGCTTTAAGTGGAAATAAACGGTCTTTCAACAATTTCTTAGTTTCAATTTTTGCACAATTAGTTCCATCACATGATTTTCTGCTCCAAGATTTTGCATAAGAGCTCTAACAGAATCTTAACTGCGTTAGGTCTTGAAGATGTCACACTCGGCAGTTTTATGAGTGCATCGACAGACGTTACATCATCTAAAATGTGGCGCTTCTTGGTGTTAAATTTATACTTCTCGTACCCCCTCACAGCAAAAAGTGCATGGGTAGAAATCCCCCAAGTACCCAGCAAAAAGACGACACCATTCGTTTTCGGTAAAAATTCAGCCCAAACAAACCCCACCTAATTTCTCACCCACAGGAACCCCCAAAGTCAGTTTCATCGAGCCAAAATTCACATCCACCACCCCTTCGAACCCCATGGTCTTAACCACAACCCCCCGACAAACAACGCCTCCTGCGTACCGAGAGATAATGACAACAAGCACGATTTCACCCCTGACGACGGCGCGCCAGTTGGAGAGAAACCACAACGAAAAACCAAAGACGCCCAAAGTACAACCGGACAAAGCGAAAAACGCAACCCAGACGAGCGAAAGCGCGTACTCTGGTTTCCTCCCGCTGCTACAAAGCATCCAGCAAACCCTAACAATAAACGCGAAAAAGTCGCTCAAAAACAAAATCTCTGTACTGACGAACTTGAGGGACAACTTGCTGGCAAACATAGGTAAGTTCGTAATAGCTCTGTCATAATTTAAAGTTTTTTTTTAAGATGAGCGAATGTCGGGTCTGTGGAGCAGATCCGACACACAGGCTGAAGCAAGGGGGCACGACGACGAGATGGACTTTCCGTCGAACGAAGGCGCTTTAATGACCATCGGGTTTTTGACTTTCGCGGTTTTTTTGATTAAGTTGGTTCTGGTTAGAAATTTCTATAAAAATTTTTATATTTTGACGAAAAATTTGTGTTTTAGAAACTGGTACATGCGCTCAAGAGCAAACAGGCGCCTGTGGTGGTGACCACGATAGCGCCAGCTACAGCTTTCATTGGCCGAAAAAAGCGAGACGTTGAAGACAGTTTGAAAATACTACAGTTTATTGAAGAATACAAATTTAGATAAATTTATTTCAACGAAAACAAAAACGAATTCTTGAAGAACCAAACTTAGTTTAACTTATTTTGTAACGAAAACTTCAATAATAAATTTAATTTTTGTTTTTTGTGGACGAGATATGCTTGGCCACAATGTGTGCCTTCAGGCTATTTTTGCGTGTGCTCTTATACCCACAGTCGTTGCAAGTAAGCCACTTGATCCCTTCAAAATTTCCGTGTTTCGTCGCCAGGTGGCCTTCCAGATGAGACTTCTGTTTACCTTTATAGGCACAGTGGGCACATCTGAACCATTGAATATCCTCGCTGTCTGTGTGTTTCGCTATCACGTGTTCCTTCAAGCGCGTCGTATGCTTAGCTTTATAATCGCACTGTTCACACCTAAACCAATTAATACTTTTCAAGTGTACGGTTCTTAAGTGCTTCCTTAGAAGACCCTTACTCTTGGCTCTATATTCACATTGCTCACACTTTATATCACAGTTATCATGTTTCAAAGAAACATGTTGGTTTAAATCAGACTTATGTTTGGCTTTAAAAATACAAAACTGGCATAGAAACCACTGAATCTGTTCATCAGGTGTATGTCTTGAGATTATGTGTTTTTTAAGATCCGATTTGCGTTTGCACTTAAGACAGCAGTGCGCACACTCGAACCACTTGATATCCTCGTTCCGTGTGTGTTTATACAGTATGTGGACTTTAAGGGTCGCTTTAGACTTAGATTTGTACGGACAGTGGGCACACTGCACCCACTCAACCACCCCATGCCTCCTACTCACATGAGAGCGAAAATTACAGCTGTCTTTGCTCGAATACGGACAGTGTTCACACTGATAACAATCAACCTTGTGTTTTTCTACATTGTGCCTTCGCAACTCTGCCAAATCCACACTCCCAAAACCACAATAAGCACAACCGAATTTCTTTTTTGTGCGTGAACACCTCGCCCTCTCTTTGCCAACCAACCCGTGCCCCCTCCTCAAATGCTCTCTGAAATTCGTGCTCTTAACCGACTCGTACGAACACTGGTCGCATCTATAAGCCTTCGCTTTGTGCTTTTTCAACAAATGTCTCCGTAACGTGCGCAGGATTGGCGCCTTGAAACAACAATACCCACACCTGAACGCTCCCGCGTTTATCAAGTCCAGGCACCGGTGGTCCCCAAACACGAGCTCCGAAAAACACTGAAAGTTGCATTTCCTACAAACGTACTTCTTCATGACTTGTGAAAGCCCCGCGAAATGGGGCTGGTTTTTGTGAAATACGCGGACGTGATTGTGGAGTTTGACTTTCACGTGGGTTTCGAAAGCGCACTGTGCGCACTTATATTTACTCAAAGGCGGCTCCATGCAGCTAAAAGAGTCGCCGGAGGGACGCTCGTGCTGCTTTAAGTGCGAGTAAAGGGTTACAAGAAAGTTGCATCTGTAGGGACACAAGTGGCAACGCTGGAAGTTGTACCTGAGGCTCGCTGTGGAAGGTTCTGGGGGGCTAACGTCGTCTGACACCTCCATATTTGGCGTACAAGTGGTACAAGCGTCTACAAGGGCGGCTGTGAATGGTGTGTCGAGGGGTTAGGGATACTCACATTTCGAATGATTTTCATCTTAGGCGGCACGCAAATAGCGCGTACCACTTTCTGATGCATTCAAAACGCGTCTCGTGGATGAACACCGCTTTTTTGTTATATTTATTAGAAGAAACGTCCCGCGGATTAACATAACCTCGAATGGAAAAACACGCACACGTGACCAAATCGCGCGACGCGATTGGCTGATGATGCGTTGCCAACATAAATAACGCAGTGATTAAAGTTGACTTTTAAAAATAACAGTAAAGATTCGGCAACAAATTTGGACTTTTGATTGATTAATTTATTAATTGTGGCAGGTTTAATTTAAAAATAACCTTGTTGGCGCTTTACGCGCGCGCAACAAACGCCGCTCTCTCATTGGTCGTTCGCCAAGCGGGGGCTGCCAAAAACCTAACCTCAAACTCGACGTGTCATTGACATCATCTTCCCGATCTATCACGATTTTCGTGGCCTCTTCCCATTCGTCTAACAAGTGAGAGGTGTTTGCCTGTGTTGTTACGAAGGTTGTTAACTTTCTGACATTTCGAGCCGACTCTTTGTTCAGTCGAGACATGGGGTACAAAGCGCTCATCTTCTGTGTTTTCCTGGCGCTGTGCGCTTTCGCCAGCTGCGACGACGACAAGTCAAAAAAGGGCCCCCGAGTCACCGACAAGGTACCTATAACAATAAAACTTTTATCGCTGGTTTTATCTATCAATAAAATAGGTTTGGTTCGACATCACGATCGGCGATGAGGCCGTAGGGCGCATCGAGATCGGCTTGTTCGGCAAGACCGTCCCCAAGACGGCGCAGAACTTCAAGGAGTTGGCGCAGAAGCCCGTCGGGGAGGGCTACAAAGGCAGCAAATTCCACCGGGTGATCAAAGACTTCATGATCCAAGGGGGCGACTTCACTAAAGGAGACGGAACTGGCGGTACGTGGCTCTATTGTTGTTGAATTTAGCTAATTGGTGTGTAGGTCGCAGCATTTACGGCGAGCGCTTTGAAGATGAAAACTTCAAGCTGAAGCACTATGGAGCCGGATGGTTGTCTATGGCCAACGCCGGGAAAGACACCAACGGGTCGCAGTTCTTCATCACCACGAAGAAGACGTCGTGGTTGGATGGCCGGCACGTCGTGTTCGGAAAAATTCTCAAGGGCATGGATATTGTGAGGAAGATTGAAAACACGAAAACAGATAACAGAGATAAGCCCGCCAAGGACGTGGTGATTGCGGATTCGGGGGCAGAGACCGTCGAGGAGCCGTTTGCTGTAGCGAGGGAAGACGCCAGTGAATAGATTGTTGAATTAACAGTTTTTTTACATAGATAATAAAGATTTTTCTACGAGTTTGGACTTTCATTCCGTTACGGATTAATGCGGTTATTTATAAACGAAAAAGTACTATTTTAAGCGACTGGTACGTGTGCTAAGTACGTTCATCTACAACGGGATTCTTGTATTGTTATTTAAGAGACAAACAAAAAAATATTGGCTGTATTTGCATTTCAAATTGGTAAATTATCTCTATCCTGTTTTTTGTGTAGGTTGCTTTTCTAAATGTCCTCAATTTTTTCATCTGTGTGAAGCTTCCTGACCTCGAAATCTTGTTAGCGCCATCGGCAACTATAAATTATTAACATCTTTGAAATTACAAATTATGAGGGGTTTAAAAGGACGGTTACCTGTTATAAATTTGAGTGGACCAGAAAAATGGCTAAAGTTTGTTTGACCACAAATTTTAAATCATAAACTCATTTTAGATTTTAACTGCCTACTGGGTTAATCTTCTCTTTGTGGGGACGAAGTGACTGAATTACTCAAAAAAAGTAATTCGTTACAATTGCTCATTACTTGAAGAATGTAACGGGCGATAAATTTACTTATTTTTGGAGATGTTAATATGAATGAGAACAATAGTCATTGTCGTAAGAATCAATGTGAATCGTGGATTTTATGGTTTCACATCACGCTAATTAAGGTTTATAATTTCACAGTTAAATATTGGCGCCATTTGACTGGACACGATATCTTTGTCCAGTTTTATAGTTTCATGGTTTAGATTTGTTAATTTTAACAAAAAGCACATTTAGCCACTAAAAATCTTCATAATTAAGTTAATTAAGCCTAATTTGATGGAAACGCAAATACTTTTACGACACCCCAAATAGACTGGACAATTTTGCGAAAACAACTCCTTTGGAGGGGTCTTTACTTATAAAAGATCTAAAGATTAATTAAAGGCCAGATTCCTGTAGCCAGTTGCCTATTTAGCGTGTGTTTGTGTTGTTACACAAAAGGTAAGTGTTGATATCTCCAAAAATGTGCATGATTTCATTAAATGTTTAAAATTTTGTTTTTGTTAATATTTTAAAGTTCAGTTTAATTTTGATGATAAATCCTTTGTATTTATTTAACCATGTTCTAAGTTTCTTGTTGTGAAAAGATGGCTATGTATATTAAGTAAAAAAAGACAAAATATAAGCTCACCCACCCACCCTAAGCCGAGGGACGGAGCTTAATTGTGAAATCCTTATTTCATTTGTTGTTACAAAAAAATTCGAGGAGGGGTTTAATTGAGAATAATTTTAGTTTGTTAGTAAAAAATTGTTAGAAAAAAAATAATTTAAATGATTTTTTTCGGGGTCATATTTCCTGATTTTTTATTAACTTTGGGCGTTGTTATTAAAATCGGATTTTTTTTTAAATTTACCACTTTAAATAAGTGTGTTTTTTCTTGTTTTGAAAAGATGGCCACACATAATAAGAAAGCAAGGCAAAATTTTAAGCTTCACCTATTTAAAGGGGTTGTAGAGGAAAAGTGAAGGATTTAAGTTGATTACTACAAAAATTTACCAAGTAGCCCCGCCCATACCCGCCCCGATCTCAATTCTCAATTGTGATCAATTTTTCATTCGTTGTCAGATCGAGGGGCGAGGTTTAATTACAAGATTTATATTTGTCTACAAGAATTTACCATTTTAAACATGTTTTAAGTTTCTTGTTCTGAAAAGACGGCTACGTATATTAAGAAAAACGGCAAAATATAAGCCCCGCCCACCCACCCTATCTCAATTGTGATGATTTTTTTATTCGTAGTGAGCCAAAGGGGCGGAGCTTAACTGCAAAATTCTTATTTCTCTACGGCTTGTCCTATGAGACAGGTGAGGCAATGCCTCAGCAGTGAATTTGGTCCGTGTAATTATTTTTATTATTTCTGGCCAAAAAAATTTTTTTTTTATATTTTAAAATAAACGTGAAAAATTATCTCATCTTGGTAGATGGATATTAGTTGTTTCGAAAAATTCAGAAGAATCTAGAACAATCTGAAAGAGTCTGCAGGGATCTGAAATTATCTGAGAAAATTTTAAAGAATCTGAAACGATATGAAAGGTGAAAAATTCTGAGAGTATCGAAAAAATCTCAAGATTGTTTAAGTTTTTTTAGTTCTGTTCAGATTGTTTCAGATCCTTACATATCCTTTCAATATTCCTACAGATTTTTCTAGATTGCTTTGATATTCCCTGAAGGAATCTGAGGGAATCTCGAAGAATCTCGAAAAATCTAGAAGAATCTGAACGATTTTGCAGGACTCTGAAGCGATCTAACACAATTTTAGAGATTCGTAAAGAAACTGAAGGAACTTTTGAGAATCTGAAATAATTTTGAAGAATTTAGAAAAATCAAATAGAACCTAAAAAAAACTGGAGGAATCTAGAGGAATTTGAAAGAGTCTGCAGGCACCTGAAACGATCTGAATAGAACTGAAAAATTTGAAAGAATCTTGAGGATTCCTGACGGTGTTTGATAGAATCTAAAAAAGTTTGATTGGAAACAAACCGAAAGCATCTAAAAGCATCCGAAATAAAAAAAAATCGAAAAAATCTGAAAGAGAGGATCAGAAGGAAAATGAAAGAATCTGAAAGCATTTGTAAGAATATGAAGAAGTTTGAGGGAATCTGAGAAAAACTGCGAGATCGGAAAGAATCTGAGAGATTCGGAAAGTATTTGAAGGAATATGAGGAAACTTGTGAGAATCTCGAAGAATCTAGAAAATCTTGAAGAACCTGGAAAAGTCTGCAGGGATCTGAAAATATCTGCACGGGTTTAAAACGACTTGAACAGAATTCAAAAATTTGAAAGAATGTGAAACACCAGAAAAATCCGAAAGAATCCGAAAGGAAGAATCTTAAAAAAAGGAATGAATCTGAAAACATCTGAAAGAATTGGGAGAATTGGAACGAATTAGAAAGAATCAGAGAGGATCGAAAATAATCTCAGGAAATCTAGACAAATCTAGGTAAACCTGGCAGAATCTGAAAAATTTTAGTGAATCTAGAAAAATGTAGAAAAAACTGGAAGAATCTGGAACAGTCTGCAGGGATCTGAAAGGATCCAAAGCGATCTTGAAAAATTCTAAGGAATTCTAAGGGAATCGTCAGGGATATTGAGAGATTCTGAAAGAATACAAGAAAATGTGTAACAAAGTGTATTTTTTCTAGAAACTTTTGCATTAATTTTTGAACATGTTGGTACGAAAATTTATGAAAAACTTGATATTGATATTTTACCGTTGAGACGTTATAAACGAATTGAAATGAATGATAAATAGAAATTAAGACAATTTTTTTCCGAAATTCTTGATAATAAAATTAATCAAATACGAACTAGAATTTCTATCATAGAAAAATTACGCACTTTTGACTTTTTTTAATGTATCTAAAATTTCATTTTTTCCGAAAAAATGTTCATGTTAACTAAAAACGCAAGCACAATATAATTTTTTTGACATTTATATGTATATTAAGAAAAAACAAGCCAAAAATTAAGCTCCACCCATATCCATCCGAAGCTCAATTGTGATGTATTTTTCATTCGTTGTCAGACCAAGGAGCGGAGCCTAATTGCAAAATCGATGCTTTCCTACAAAAATTTACCATTTTAAACATGTTTTAAGTTTCTTGTTCTGAAAAGACGATTACGTATATTAAGAAAAAAGGCAAAATATAGGCCCCGCCCACCCACCCTATCTCAAATGTGATGATTTTTTTACTCGTCGTGAGCTAAGGGGGCGGAGCTTAACTGCAAAATTCTTATTTCTCTACGGCTTGTCCTATGAGGTAGGTGAGGCAATGCCTCAGCAATGAATTTGCTCCGTGTAATTATTTTTATATTTCTGGCCAACAAAATATTTTTTTTAATATTTTAAAATAAACGTGAAAAATTATCTTTTCTTGGTAGATGGATATTAGCTGTTTCGAAAAATTCAGAAAAATCTAGAACAATCTGAAAGAGTCTGCAGGGATCTGAAATTATCTGAGAAAATTCGAAAGAATCTGAACGATATGAAAGGTGAAAAATTCTGAGAGTATCGATTCCTGCAGACTCTTCTAGATTTTTCTAGATTGTTTTAGATTTTGCTAGGGAATATGAGAAAATCTCGAAGAATTTCGAAAAATCTAGAAGAATCTGAACGATTTTGCAGGACTCTGAAGCGATCTTACAGAATTTTAGAGATTCGTAAAGCAACTGAAAGAACTTTTGAGAATCTGAGAGAACTTTGAAGAATTTCGAAGAATTTAGAAAAATCAAATAGAATCTAATAAAAAAAACAAACTGGAGGAATCTGAAAGAATTTGAAAGAATCTGCAGGCATCTGAAACTATCTGAATAGAACTGAAAAATTTGAAAGAATCTTCAGGATTCCTGACGGTGTTTGATAGAATCCAAAAAAATTTGATTGGAAACAAATCGGAATAATCAGAAAGAATAAAAAAAAATCGACAAAATCAGAAAGAAAATGAAATAATCTGAAAGCATTTATAAGAATTTGGAGGAATTTGAGGGAATCTGAGAGAAATTGCGAGATCGGAAAGAATCCGAGAGATTCGGAAAGTATTTGAAGGTATCTGAGGATAGGTACCTGTGGGAACCTATGTGAATCTCGAAGAATCTAGAAAAATCTGGAAGAATCTGGAAAAGTCTGCAGGGATCTGAAATTATCTGGGAAAATTTTAAAGAATCTGAAACGATATGAAAGATAAAAATTTCTGAGAGTATCGAAAAAATCTGAAAGAATCTGAGAGAATTTAAGATTTTTTCAAATTCTTTCGAACTTTTTCAGATTCTTTCAAAGGAACCATCAGAAATCCTCAAGATTGTTTAAATTTTTCTAGTTCTGTTTCAGATCCTTACGTATCGTTTCAGATTCCTGCAGACTCTTAAAAAATTTTTCTAGATTGTTTTAGATTTTGCTATAGGTTCTTCGAGATTTCTGGAAGAATTTGAACGATTTTGCAGGACTTTGAGGCGATCTAATAGAATTTTCGAAATTCGTAATTTAGAAAAATCAAATAGAATCTAAAAAAAAAAAACTGGAGGAATCTAGAGGAATTTGAAAGAGTCTGCAGGCATCTGAAACGATCTCAATAATTTGAAAGAATCTTGAGGATTCCTGACGGTGTTTGATAGAATCTGAAAAAAATTTATTGGAAACAAACCGAAAGCATCTAAAAGCATCCGGAATAATCAGAAAGAATAAAAAAAAAAACTGAAAGAGAGAATCAGAAAGAGAATGATATAATCTGAAAGTATTTGTAAGAATACGGAGGAATTTGAGGGAACCTGAGAGAAATTACGAGATCGGAAAGAATCTGAGAGATTCGGAAAGTATTTGAAGGAATCTGACGAAACCTGTGAGAATCTCGAAGAATCTAGAAAAGTCTGCAGGGATCTGAAAAAATCTGCACGGGTTTAAAACGACCTGAATTGAATTCAGAAATCCAAAAGAATCCGAAAGGGAGAATTTTAAAAAAAGGAAAGAATCTGGAAACATCTGAAACAATTGGGAGAATCTGAGGGAATCCAAGAAAATCTGAGGGAACTAAGAATCGGAACGAATTAGAAAGAATCAGAGGAGATCGGAAATAATCTCAGGAAATCTAGACAAATCTAGGTAAACCTGGCAGAATCTGAAAAATCTGAGAAAATCTCGAAAAAACTGGAAGAATCTGGAACAGTCTGCAGGGATCTGAAAGGATCCAAAGCGATCTTGAAAAATTCTGAGGGAACCTTCAGGGATATTGAGAGAATCTCAAAGAATAGAAGATAATGTGTAACAAACTGTATTTTCTCTAGAAACTTTTGCATTAATTTTTGAACATGTTGGTAGTAAAATTTATGGAAAACTTGATATTGATATTTTACCCTTGACACGTTATAAACGAAGTGAAATGAATGATAAATAAAAATTAAGGCAATTTTTTTCCGAAATTCTTGATAATAAAATTAATTAAATACGAATTAGAATTTCTGTGATAGAAAAATTACGCACTTTTGACTTAATGTTTCTAAAATTTCATTTTTTCCGAAAAAATGTTCATGTTAACTAAAAACGCAAGCACCATTTTAAACATGTTTTACCTTTCTTGTTGTGAAAAGAAGACCACATATTAAGAAAAAAAGGGAAAATCTAAACTCTTGTAGTTGTATTATCTAATCAATTGAGCGGCAAGTTTGTCAATCGACCTTTAAAAGGGCTTTTTCATGAAATATCTGGTTGTTAAAGGACACTATCAGAAAGACACTCCCAACGTGGAAATTCTTGCTCTATAAATCATTTGGAAGTTAGAATTGTAGCTAGAGAAAGTGTGTATGTTGGGTTGCCTATATTTAACACATTAATGAGCATTTCGTGTTTCACAACTGTGGATTCTGTGGGGTCACGAATATTTCATCTACAACGGGATTCTTGCATTGTTAAAAACACAAAAGCAAAAATATCGTCTTTATTTCAATCTCAAAATGGTAAATTATCTCAATTCTATCTATATTTGAGTAGTATATAGGAGTTTGCACGTCCTCCATTTTTCACCTGTCTGACCTCCAGCGTCGCCAGCGCCATCTGCAACCACAAACATTAACCTCTTTCAAACCACTCACCTCCACCCACTTCATCCCAGCTTATCCTCCAACATCTTCACCAAATCGTCCCCGTCCTCCCGCTTCACTTCCACGTCATCAGCCATCTCGTTCAACAGCTTCAACAACTGATAACTGTTCCTAGGGGCCCTCTTCCTCCCTATACACAAATCAAGGAGTAATTAAAACAAAATCTACCAAAAAACGTTTCATTCAAATCGATATAATACAACGAAATATCCAATCATACAACTTTGTTCAACGCATAATTAAACTCAGCTGATGGCGCTTCATCTGCACCACTAGGCAAAGGCTGCTCTCTTAGCACTTGCGCAATATTTTCCCTCAAGTTCTGCAAGAGCTCCGTCGCGGGAAAGTTAGCCTGAAACCGATTGTGCGCATTGTGACCACTAAGCCGACCCGGTACGGTTTGGTCAAACAAATGCAGGAAGTTGCTCGCGGGCTGGACAACCCGGTTTGACACCTGGGGGCGCATACCGTTCGGAAGAAACACCCTCCTGAAACACATCGTCAAGTTTGATTCCGACACTGTTACCAACTTACGGCAGGAAGCCACGCGCGTTGTTGTTCATCGGGTTTGGCACCAGAGTTGGACCGTTGGTTCCTACAATATAAAATTAATCGAAAATAGTATTTTATTGAGGATGATTACTCGGATGCAAATACACCCTAAGCCCTCTGTGCGCAGGTGACATATGTGCGGGGAAAATTGGTAGTTGAAATATTGGGTTTACTACTACTGGGGGTGCGAATTGTGGTAGTGGCTCTAGGAAAAAGCAAACAACACATGCGTGATTAAAGCCCACACCATGCTATGATAATGACGTACTCGCCGCCTCCTCCATGTTGTTGAATTCGTCCCAGGCCATTTTTTTATCTTCGTCGGTGAGTTCTTCTTCCGGACGATTTTCTAGTAACGAATTGTGGAGGTGGTACCGGTAGATGTCGTACGTGTTTTGTACCAGTTGTGCCAATAGTTTGTCGGTTGGTACTATCGGGATAGGTCGGTCTACAGTGTATTCGCTAAAGTCGACTTTGTACAATTCTCGAAGGTCACTTGATGTGTATCTTCGCACGAAGTGCAGCTTATCTACTACGGTTCCGCTCAAGTGTAACTTGACGACGCACCTTTGGTAGATTTTTTCTTCCATGGTGGCCTGAAACAATAACTGACTTTTCCACTTTTACAACAATGGAATGACCTACCATTGACAATAATCTATAAACGTAGCACTTCTTCGTCTGCCCGAATCGATACACCCTGTACATACTTTGGGTGTCCAGAGACGGGTTGTAGTTAGACCCAATCATAATCACTCTATTCGCACCTACTAAGTTTAAACCTAACCCACCCACTCTATGGGTAAGAATAAATAATTTAGCAGTCGCGTCGGTGTTAAATCGTCTGCATAACGTAAGAATATGGAGGAATTTGCGGGAATCTGAGAGAAATTGCGAGATCGGAAAGAATCTGAGAGATTGGGAAAGTATTTGAAGGAATCTGAGGAAACCTGTGAGAATCTCGAAGAATCTAGAAAAATCTGAAAATATCTGCACGGGTTCAAAAACGACCTGAATAGAATTAAAAAATTTGACAGAATGTGAAACACCGGAATAATCCAAAAGAATCCGAAAGGAAGAATCTTAAAAAAAGGAAAGAATCTGATAACATCTGAAAGAATTGGGAGAATTTGAGGGAATCCAAGAAAATTTGAGGGAATATGAAACAATCTCAGGAAATCTAGACAAATCTAGGTAAACCTGGCAGAATCTGAAAAATTTGAGAGAATCTAGAAAAATGTAGAAAAAACTGGAAGAATCTGAAACAGTCAGCAGAGATCTGAAAGGATCCAAAGCGATCTTGAAAAATTCTGAGGAATTCTGAAGAAATCTTCAGAGATATTGAGAGAATCTGAAAGAATAGAAGAAAATGTGTAACTAAAAAGTGTATTTTTTCTAGAAACTTTTGCATTAATTTTTGAACATGTTGGTACGGTCGTGGACAGTGAATTTCGTCCACCCAATTTCTTTGACAGAAAAAAACTCTAAATTAGCCCTTAGATCTTTCTAACCTTTTTTGTCATTTTGACATAAAGGGGCAAACATTTTTTTATACGATAACTAACACTAGTCCGCGGTAAGCCCAAAAGTGTAGCGACATCCCGTCTTGGAAAAGGGATATTAGTTTACCTTCATTAAAATAACTAATCGATGGCAGGTTCGAAGCTAAATTAAATTTGACAATACTTACGTCAGTCATCATGATAATAAAGCACCGACTGCAGTGAATTTTTGTGAATTCGCGTGAATTGTGTGGACGAAATTCACTGTCCGCGACTGTACTACAATTTACGGAAAACTTGATATTGATATTTTACCGTTGAGACGTTATATACGAAGTGAAATGAATGATAAATAGAAATTAAGGCGTTTTTTTTCCGAAATTCTTGGTAATAAAATTAATCGAATACGAATTAGAATTTCTGTCATAGAAAAATTACGCACTTTTGGTTTAATGTTTCTAAAATATCATTTTTTCCGAAAAAATTTTCGTGTCAACTAAAAACGCAAGCACAATATAATTTTTTTGACATTTATATGTATATTAAGAAAAAACAAGCCAAAAATTAAGCCCCACCCATAGCCATCCGAAGCTCAATTGTGATGCATTTTTCATTCGTTGTCAGACCAAGGGGCGGAGCCTAATTGCAAAATCGATACTTTCCTCCAAAAATTTACCATTTGAAACATGTTTTAAGTTTCTTGTTCTGAAAAGACGACTACGTATATCAAGAAAAAAGGCAAAATATAGGCCCCGCCCACCCACCCTACCTCAATTGTGATGATTTTTTTATTCGTCGTGAGCTAAGGGGGCGGAGCTTAACTGCAAAATTCTTATTTCTCTACGGCTTGTCCTATGAGGCAGGTGAGGCAATGCCTTAGCAATGAATTTGCTCCGTGTAATTATTTTTATATTTCTGGCCAACAAAATATTTTTTTTAATATTTTAAAATAAACGTGAAAAATTATCTTTTCTTGGTAGATGGATATTAGCTGTTTCGAAAAATTCAGAAAAATCTAGAACAATCTGAAAGAGTCTGCAGAGATCTGAAATTATCTGAGAAAATTTGAAAGAATCTGAACGATATGAAAGGTGAAAAATTCTGAGAGTATCGATTCCTGCAGACTCTTCTAGATTTTTCTAGATTGTTTTAGATTTTGCTAGGGAATATGAGAAAATCTCGAAGAATTTCGAAAAATCTAGAAGAATCTGAACGATTTTGCAGGACTCTGAAGCGATCTTACAGAATTTTAGAGATTCGTAAAGCAACTGAAGGAACTTTTGAGAATCTGAGAGAATTTTGAAGAATTTCGAAGAATTTAGAAAAATCAAATAGAATCTAAAAAAAAACAAACTGGAGGAATCTGAAAGAATTTGAAAGAATCTGCAGGCATCTGAAACTATCTGAATAGAACTGAAAAATTTGAAAGAATCTTGAGGATTCCTGACGGTGTTTGATAGAATCCAAAAAAATTTGATTGGAAACAAACCGGAATAATCAGAAAGAATAAAAAAAAATCGACAAAATCAGAAAGAAAATGAAATAATGTGAAAGCATTTATAAGAATATGGAGGAATTTGAGGGAATCTGAAAGAAATTGCGAGATCGGAAAGAATCTGAGAGATTCGGAAAGTATTTGAAGGAATCTGAGGAAACCTGTGAGAATCTCGAAGAATCTAGAAAAATCTGGAAGAATCTGGAAAAGTCTGCAGGGATCTGAAATTATCTGAGAAAATTTGAAAGAATCTGAAACGATATGAAAGGTGAAAAATTCTGAGAGTATCGAAAAAATCCGAAAGAATCTGAGAGAATTTAAGATTTTTTCAAATTCTTTCGAACTTTTTCAGGTTCTTTTAAAGAAACCATCAGAAATCCTCAAGATTGTTTAAGTTTTTTTAGTTCTGTTCAGATTGTTTCAGATCCTTACGTATCCTTTCAGATTCCTGTAGACTCTTCCAGATTTTTCTAGATTGTTTTAGATTTTGCTAGATTTTTCGAGATTTTCTCATATTCCCTGGAGGAATCTCGAAGAATCTAGAAAAATCTAGAAGAATCTGAACGATTTTGCAGCGATCTAACAGAATTTTAGAAATTCGTGAAGAAACTGAATGAACTTTTGAGAATCTGAGAGAATTTTGAAAAATCAAATAGAATCTAAAAAAAACAAACTGGAGGATTTTGGAAGAATTTGAAAGAATCTGCAGGCATCTGAAACGATCTGAATAGAACTGAAAAATTTGAAAGAATCTTGAGGATTCCTGACGGTGTTTGATAGAATCTAAAAAAATTTGATTGGAAACAAACCGGAAGCATCTAAAAGCATCCGGAATGATCAGGAAGAATAAAAAAAATCGAAAAAATCTGAAAGAGATAATCAGAAAGAAAATGAAAGCATTTGTAAGAATATGGAGGAATTTGAGGAAATCTGAGAGAAATTGCGAGATCGGAAAGAATCTGAGAGATTCGGAAAGTATTTGAAAGAATCTGAGGAAACCTGTGAAAATCTCGAAGAATCTAGAAAAATCTGGAAGAATCTGGAAAAGTCTGCAGGGATCTGAAAATATCTGCACAGGTTTAAAACGACCTGAAGAGAATTCAAGAATTTGAAAGAATGTGAAACACCGGAATAATCCGAAAGAATCCGAAAGGAAGAATCTTAAAAAAACGAAAGAATCTGAAAACATCTGAAAGAATTGGGAGAATCTGAGGGAATCCAAGAAAATCTGAGGGAAATATGAAACTAAGAATCGGAACGAATTAGAAAGAAGCAGAGGGGATCGGAAATAATCTTAGGAAATCTAGACAAATCTAGGTAAAATTGGCAGAATCTGAAAAATTTGAGAGAATCTAGAAAAATGTAGAAAAACTGGAAGAATCTGGAACAGTCTGCAGGGATCTGAAAGGATCCAAAGCGATCTTGAAAAGTTCTGAGGGAATCTTCAGGGATATTGAGAGAATCTCAAAGAATAGAAGATAATGTGTAACAAACTGTATTTTTTCTAGAAACTTTTGCATTAATTTTTGAACATGTTGGTACAAAAATTTATGGAAAACTTGATATTGATATTTTACCCTTGACACGTTATAAACGAAGTGAAATGAATGATAAATAAAAATTAAGGCAATTTTTTTCCGAAATCCTTGATAATAAAATTAATCAAATACGAATTAGAATTTCTGTCATAGAAAAATTACGCACTTTTGACTTAATGTTTCTAAAATTTCATTTTTCCCGAAAAAATGTTCATGTTAACTAAAAACGCAAGCACCATTTTAAACATGTTTTACCTTTCTTGTTGTGAAAAGAAGACCACATATTAAGAAAAAAAGGGAAAATCTAAACTCTTGTAGTTGTATTATCTAATCAATTCAGCGGCAAGTTTATCAATCGACCTTTAAAAGGGCTTTTTCATGAAATATCTGGTTGTTAAAGGACACTATCAGAAAGACACTCCCAACGTGGAAATTCTTGCTCTATAAATCATTTGGAAGTTAGAATTTTAGCTAGAGAAAGTGTGTATGTTGGGTTGCCTATATTTAACACATTAATGAGCATTTCGTGTTTCACAACTGTGGATTCTGTGGGGTCACGAATATTTCATCTGCAACGGGATTCTTGCATTGTTAAAAACACAAAAGCAAAAATATCGTCTTTATTTCAATCTCAAAATGGTAAGTTATCTCAATTCTATCTATATTTGAGTAGGTTGCTTTGCACGTCCTCCATTTTTCACCTGTCTGACCTCCAGCGTCACCAGCGCCATCTGCAACCACAAACATTAACCTCTTTCAAACCACTCACCTCCACCCACTTCATCCCAGCTTATCCTCCAACATTTTCACCAAATCGTCCCCGTCCTCCCGCTTCACTTCCACGTCATCAGCCATCTCGTTCAACAGCTTCAACAACTGATAACTGTTCCTAGGGGCCCTCTTCCTCCCTATACACAAATCAAGGAGTAATTAAAACAAAATCTACCAAAAAACGTTTCATTCAAATCGATATAATACAACGAAATATCCAATCATACAACTTTGTTCAACGCATAATTAAACTCAGCTGATGGCGCTTCATCTGCACCACTAGGCAAAGGCTGCTCTCTTAGCACTTGCGCAATATTTTCCCTCAAGTTCTGCAAGAGCTCCGTCGCGGGAAAGTTAGCCTGAAACCGATTGTGCGCATTGTGACCACTAAGCCGACTCGGTACGGTTTGGTCAAACAAATGCAGGAAGTTGCTCGCGGGCTGGACAACCCGGTTTGACACCTGGGGGCGCATACCGTTCGGAAGAAACACCCTCCTAAAACACATCGTCAAATTTGATTACGACACTGTTACCAACTTACGGCAGGAAGCCACGCGCGTTGTTGTTCATCGGGTTTGGCACCAGAGTTGGACCGTTCGTTCCTACAATATAAAATTAATCGAAAATAGTATTTTATTTAGAATGATTACTCGGATGCAAATACACCCTAAGCCCTCTGTGCGCAGGTGACATATGTGCGGGGAAAATTGGTAGTTGAAATATTGGGTTTACTACTACTGGGGGTGCGAATTGTGGTAGTGGCTCTAGGAAAAAGCAAACAACACATGCGTGATTAAAGCCCACACCATGCTATGATAATGACGTACTCGCCGCCTCCTCCATGTTGTTGAATTCGTCCCAGGCCATTTTTTTATCTTCGTCGGTGAGTTCTTCTTCCGGACGATTTTCTAGTAACGAATTGTGGAGGTGGTACCGGTAGATGTCGTACGTGTTTTGTACCAGTTGTGCCAATAGTTTGTCGGTTGGTACTATCGGGATAGGTCGGTCTACAGTGTATTCGCTAAAGTCGACTTTGTACAATTCTCGAAGGTCACTTGATGTGTATCTTCGCACGAAGTGCAACTTATCTACTACGGTTCCACTCAAGTGTAACTTGACGACGCACCTTTGGTAGATTTTTTCTTCCATGGTGGCCTGAAACAATAACTGACTTTTCCACTTTTACAACAATGGAATGACCTACCATTGACAATAATCTAACGCTATAAACGTAGCACTTCTTCGTCTGCCCGAATCGATACACCCTGTACATACTTTGGGTGTCCAGAGACGGGTTGTAATTAGACCCAATCATAATCACTCCATTTGCACCTACTAAATTCAAACCTAACCCACCCACTCTATGGGTAAGAATAAATAATTTAGCAGTCGCGTCGGTGTTAAATCGTCTGCATAACGTAAGAATATGGAGGAATTTGCGGGAATCTGAGAGAAATTGCGAGATCGGAAAGAATCTGAGAGATTGGGAAAGTATTTGAAGGAATCTGAGGAAACCTGTGAGAATCTCGAAGAATCTAGAAAAATCTGGAAAAATCTGGAAAAGTCTGCAAGGATCTGAAAATATCTGCACGGGTTTAAAACGACCTGAATAGAATTCAAAAATTTGACAGAATGTGAAACACCGGAATAATCCAAAAGAATCCGAAAGGAAGAATCTTAAAAAAAGGAAAGAATCTGATAACATCTGAAAGAATTGGGAAAATTTGAGGGAATCCAAGAAAATTTGAGGGAATATGAAATAATCTCAGGAAATCTAGACAAATCTAGGTAAACCTGGCAGAATCTGAAAAATTTGAGAGAATCTAGAAAAATGTAGAAAAAACTGGAAGAATCTGAAACAGTCAGCAGAGATCTGAAAGGATCCAAAGCGATCTTGAAAAATTCTGAGGAATTCTGAAGAAATCTTCAGAGATATTGAGAGAATCTGAAAGAATGGAAGAAAATGTGTAACTAAAAAGTGTATTTTTTCTAGAAACATTTGCATTAATTTTTGAACATGTTGGTACGGTCGTGGACAGTGAATTTCGTCCACCCAATTTCTTTGACAAAAAAAAACTCTAAATTAGCCCTTAGATCTTTCTAACCTTTTTTGTCATTTTGACATAAAGGGGCAAACATTTTTTTATACGATAACTAACACTAGTCCGCGGTAAGCCCAAAAGTGTAGCGACATCCCGTCTTGGAAAAGGGATATTAGTTTACCTTCATTAAAATAACTAATCGATGGCAGGTTCGAAGCTAAATTAAATTTGACAATACTTACGTCAGTCATCATGACAATAAAGCACCGACTACAGTGATTTTTTGTGAATTCGCGTGAATTGTGTGGACGAAATTCACTGTCCGCGACTGTACTACAATTTACGGAAAACTTGATAGTGATATTTTACCGTTGAGACGTTATATACGAAGTGAAATGAATGATAAATAGAAATTAAGGCATTTTTTTTCCGAAATTCTTGATAATAAAATTAATCGAATACGAATTAGAATTTCTGTCATAGAAAAATTACGCACTTTTGACTTAATGTTTCTAAAATTTCATTTTCTCCGAAAAAAATTTCATGTCAACTAAAAACGCAATCACAATATAGTAATTTTTTTGACATTTATATGTATATTAAGAAAAAACAAGCCAAAAATTAAGCCCCACCCATATCCATCCGAAGCTCAATTGTGATGTATTTTTCATTCGTTGTCAGACCAAGGGGCGGAGCCTAATTGCAAAATCGATACTTTCCTACAAAAATTTACCATTTTAAACATGTTTTCAGTTTCTTGTTCTGAAAAGACGATTACGTATATTAAGAAAAAAGGCAAAATATAGGCCCCGCCCACCCACCCTATCTCAATTGTGATGATTTTTTTATTCGTCGTGAGCTAAGGGGGCGGAGCTTAACTGCAATCTCGAAAAATCTAGAAGAATCTGGAAGAATCTGAACGATTTTGCAGGACTCTGAAGCGATCTAATAGAATTTTAGAGATCCGTAAAGAAACTGAAGGAACTTTTGAGAATCTGAGAGAACTTTCAAGAATTTCGAAAAATCAAATAGAATCTAATAAAAAAAAACAAACTGGAGGAATCTGAAAGAATTTGAAAGAATCTGCAGGCATCTGAAACGATCTGAATAGAACTGAAAAATTTGAAAGGATCTTGAGGATTCCTGACTGTGTTTGATCGAATCCAAAAAAATTTGATTGGAAACAAACCGGAATAATCAGAAAGAATAAAAAAAAATCGATAAAATCAGAAAGAAAATGAAATAATCTGAAAGCATTTATAAGAATATGGAGGAATTTGAGGGAATCTGAGACAAATTGCGAGATCGGAAAGAATCTGAGAGATTCGGAAAGTATTTGAAGGAATCTGAGGATACCTGTGGGAACCTGTGCGAATCTCGAAGAATTTAGAAAAATCTGGAAGAATCTGGAAAAGTCTGCATGGATCTGAAATTATCGGGAAAATTTTAAAGAATCTGAAACGATATGAAAGGTGAAAAATTCTGAGAGTATCGAAAAAATCTGAAAGAATCTGAGAGAATATAAGATTTTTTCAAATTCTTTCGACCTTTTTCAGATTCTTTCAAAGGAATCATCAGAAATCCTCAAGATTGTTTAAATTTTTCTAGTTCTGTTTAGATTGTTTCAGATCCTGCAGACTCTTCCAGATTTTTCTAGATTGTTTTAGATTTTGCTAGATTCTTCGAGATTTTCTCATATTCCCTGGAGGGAATCTCGAAGAATCTCGAAAAATCTAGAAGAATCTGGAAGAATCTGAACGATTTTGCAGGACTCTGAAGCGATCTAACAGAATTTTAGAGGTTCGTAAAGAAACTGAAGGAACTTTTGAGAATCTGAGAGAACTTTGAGAATTTCGAAGAATTTAGAAAAATCAAATAGAATCTAAAAAAAAAAAAAACAGGAGGAATCTGAAAGAATTTGAAAGAATCTGCAGGCATCTGAAACGATCTGAATAGAACCGAAAAATTTGAAAGAATCTTCAGGATTCCTGACGGTGTTTGATAGAATCCAAAAAAATTTGATTGGAAACAAACCGGAATAATCAGAAAGAATAAAAAAAAAATCGATAAAATCAGAAAGAAAATGAAATAATCTGAAAGCATTTATAAGAATATGGAGGAATTTGAGGGAATCTGAGAGATTCGGAAAGTATTTGAAGGAATCTGACGATACCTGTGAGAACCTGTGTAAATCTCGAAGAATCTAGAAAAATCTGGAAGAATCTGGAAAAGTCTGCAGAGATCTGAAATTATCTGGGAAAATTTTAAAGAATGTGAAACGGTATGAAAGGTGAAAATTTCTGAGAGTATCGAAAAAATCTGAAAGAATCTGAGAGAATTTAAGATTTTTTCAAATTCTTTCGAACTTTTTCAAATTCTTTCAAAGGAACCATCAGAAATCCTCAAGATTGTTTAAATTTTTCTAGTTCTGTTCAGATTGTTTCAGATCCTGCTGACTCTTCCAGATTTTTCTAGATTGTTTTAGATTTTGCTATTCCCTGGAGGGAATCTCGAAGAAGCTCGAAAAATCTAGAAGAATCTGGAAGAATATGAACGATTTTGCCGGACTCTGAAGCGATCTAACAGAATTTTAGAGATTCGTAAAAAAAACTGAAGGAACTGGAGAATCTGAGAGAATTTTGAAGAATTTCGAAAAATTAAATCGAATCAAAAAAAAAACACAAACCTGAGGAATCTGGAAGAATTTGAAAGAATCTGCAGGCATCTGAAACGATCTGAATAGAACTGAAAAATTTGAAAAAATCTTGAGGATTCCTGACGGTGTTTGATAGAATCTAAAAAAATTTGATTGGAAACAAACAGAAAGCATCTAAAAGCGTCCGGAATAATCAGAAAGAATAAAAAAAATCGAAAAAATTTGAAAGAGAGAATCAGAAAGAAAATGAAAGCATTTGTAAGAATCTGAGAGATTCGGAAAGTATTTGAAGGAATCTGAGGAAATCTGTGAGAATCTCGAAGAATCTAGAAAAATCTGGAAGAATCTAGAAAAGTCTGCAGGGATTTGAAAATATCTGCACGGGTTTAAAACGACCTGAATAGAATTCAAAAATTTGACAGAATGTGAAACACCGGAATAATCCGAAAGAATCCGAAAGGAAGAATCTTAAAAAAAGGAAAGAATCTGAGAACATCTGAAAGAATTGGGAGAATCTGAGGAAATCCAAGAAAATCTGAGGGAATATGAAACTAAGAATCGGAACGAATTAGAAAGAATCAGAGGAGATCGGAAATAATCTCAGGAAATCTAGACAAATCTAGGTAAACCTGACAGAATCTGAAAAATTTGAGAAAATCTAGAAAAAACGGGAAGAATCTGAAACAGTCTGCAGAGATCTGAAAGGATCCAAAGCGATCTGAGGAATTCTGAGGGAATCTTCAGGGATATTGAGAGAAGTGTATTTTTTCTAGAAACTTTTGCATTAATTTTTGAACATGTTGGTACTAAAATTTATGGAAAACTTGATATTGAATTTTTTTCCGAAATTCTTGATAATAAAATTAATCAAATCGAATTAGAATTTCTGTCATAGAAAAATTACGCACTTTTGACTTGTGAATGTTTCTAAAATTCCATTTTTTCCGAAAAAAATTTCATGTCAACTAAAAACGCAAGCGCAATATAATTTTTTTGACATTTAGATATTGGAGCGTCTTGTCCCTTGCCTCATCAACTTTTTAACTTATGAGCCGCCTAAAAATTAAGTCCCACCCATATCCATCCGAAATTCAATTGTGATGAATTTTTCATTCGTTGTCAGACCAAGGGGGGGAGCCTAATTGCAAAATCGATAGTTTCCTACAAAAATTTACAATTATAAACATGTTTTACCCTTCTTGTTGTGAAAAGAAGACCACATATTAAGAAAAAAAGGGAAAATCTAAACCCTTGTACTTGTATTATCTAATCAATTGAGCGGCAAGTTTATCAATCGGATTTTTCATGAAATATCTGGTTGATAAAGGGCACTTCGCGCCCCATCAGAAAGACACTCCAAACGTAGAAATTCTTACTCTATGGATCATTGGACAGTTAGAATTTAAGCTAGAGAAAGTGTGTATGTTGGGTTGCTTATACCTGGCACTGCCAAGGGTTAAATTTGAAGAATTTTAATTTTGGTTCAACTATTTGAGTAATCTTGTCAATATGGAAGTTTTGTGGACAAAATTATCCTGACAAAACAAATTCTTAAAATTCAGTTTTTAAAACTGGTGAGCATTTCGTATTTCTCAACTATGGGATTCTTGCATTGTTAAAGACACAAAAGCAAAAATATCATCTTTATTTCAATCTCAAAATGGCAAATTATCTCAATTCTATATTTGAGTAGGTTGCTTTACACGTCCTCGACTTTTCATCTGTCTGAACCTCCCTGACTTCCAGCGTCACCAGCGCCATCTGCAACCACAAACATTAACCTCTTTCAAACCACTCACCTCCACCCACTTCATCCCAGCTTATCCTCCAACATTTTCACCAAATCGTCCCCGTCCTCCCGCTTCACTTCCACGTCATCAGCCATCTCGTTCAACAGCTTCAACAACTGATAACTGTTCCTAGGGGCCCTCTTCCTCCCTATACACAAATCAAGGAGTAATTAAAACAAAATCTACCAAAAAACGTTTCATTCAAATCGATATAATACAACGAAATATCCAATCATACAACTTTGTTCAACGCATAATTAAACTCAGCTGATGGCGCTTCATCTGCACCACTAGGCAAAGGCTGCTCTCTTAGCACTTGCGCAATATTTTCCCTCAAATTCTGCAAGAGCTCCGTCGCGGGAAAATTAGCCTGAAACCGATTGTGCGCATTGTGACCACTAAGCCGACCCGGTACGGTTTGGTCAAACAAATGCAGGAAGTTGCTCGCGGGCTGGACAACCCGGTTTGACACCTGGGGGCGCATACCGTTCGGAAGAAACACCCTCCTGAAACACATCGTCAAGTTTGATTCCGACACTGTTACCAACTTACGGCAGGAAGCCACGCGCGTTGTTGTTCATCGGGTTTGGCACCAGAGTCGGACCGTTCGTTCCTACAATATAAAATTAATCGAAAATAGTATTTTATTGAGGATGATTACTCGGATGCAAATACACCCTAAGCCCTCTGTGCGCAGGTGACATATGTGCGGGGAAAATTGGTAGTTGAAATATTGGGTTTACTACTACTGGGGGTGCGAATTGTGGTAGTGGCTCTAGGAAAAAGCAAACAACACATGCGTGATTAAAGCCCACACCATGCTATTATAATGACGTACTCGCCGCCTCCTCCATGTTGTTGAATTCGTCCCAGGCCATTTTTTTATCTTCGTCGGTGAGTTCTTCTTCCGGACGATTTTCTAGTAACGAATTGTGGAGGTGGTACCGGTAGATGTCGTACGTGTTTTGTACCAGTTGTGCCAATAGTTTGTCGGTTGGTACTATCGGGATAGGTCGGTCTACAGTGTATTCGCTAAAGTCGACTTTGTACAATTCTCGAAGGTCACTTGATGTGTATCTTCGCACGAAGTGCAACTTATCTACTACGGTTCCACTCAAGTGTAACTTGACGACGCACCTTTGGTAGATTTTTTCTTCCATGGTGGCCTGAAACAATAACTGACTTTTCCACTTTTACAACAATGGAATGACCTACCATTGACAATAATCTATAAACGTAGCACTTCTTCGTCTGCCCGAATCGATACACCCTGTACATACTTTGGGTGTCCAGAGACGGGTTGTAGTTAGACCCAATCATAATCACTCTATTCGCACCTACTAAATTCAAACCTAACCCACCCACTCTATGGGTAAGAATAAATAATTTAGCAGTCGCGTCGGTGTTAAATCGTCTGCACAACGTATCGCGATCGTCGACCGGGGTTTTACCGTCCATCCTGTAGTAGTCGACGTTGGGTCGCCACGACTGCTGGTTCTCGGTACCGTGGTACTTCAAAAAGTTCTCAATTATGTCCAGTTCGACCAAAAACTGGACGAAAATTAATCTAAAAATATACATAGCAACAAATGTTCAGCCATACACCACAAAGTAAATCAAACTTACACTTTTTCTTTAACGCGTAAACACTCATTCAAAATATCAAAAACTAGTTTCAATTTGGCACTATAATTGACGTTAATGTTAACATCTTCGGGTAACGACACTTTGAACCAATCCTGGGACACGTGACTTACGTCGGCTTCTTGTTCGTCGTCTTCGGTGGCGCCCTCTTCAGTCCGCTTCCGTTTCTTCTTCTTGTGTTTGGGTTTATTATACTGAATTTAAAAACAAAATTAGTTAAATTTGTATAAAATTATAATTTTATTGTTTACATAAAGCTGGATCGTGTAGGGATGCAGATTATTAAAGTTGAGCATCATCACATCTGTTAGTAATTTTTTACCAAGTTCTGTGGACTGTCCAGTGGTCATGTTGATGTACTTAGTGTACATCTCCATCTGTAGTGGCGTTAGTTTTAAACAAATCGTATAGTCGACTATTTCGGGTAAGTATGATGATAGAACTGCAGCTTCCACCCTCTAAAACCACCAATCAAACCCCAAGTCAATAAACCCTCCATACCCACATGTATCGTCTTTTTTAGAAGCTTAGTAAGCACGTGAGTCCTCTTCTTCATCAATTTAATATCTTCAGGTCTGGAATCATGGTACTGCCCGTTCTCGATGGGTGTCGCAAACCGATTTTTATACTCCTCCTTAGTACCCAAGAGGTGGGGTTTAACAAATTCAACCATCACGTAATCTACAACACCCCCAATTATTATTTTTTTTTTTACTATTGGTTCTACAGACATTCTTTGAGGTTGTTCTGCAACGGGGTCCCCGTCAACACAATCCGTCGTTTCGTTTTCACCTTAATCAGCGAATTAAACCTCAAAGTTTTGCTATTTTTGAGCAGGTGCCCCTCATCACACACGATTAAATCCGGCCCTGGATTAGTGAGCGCTTCCAGGACCGCTTTTCTTTGCTCGGGGGTCACCCGCGGCGACAATTTCTCACTAGTCAGTCTCTGGAATGCTTCATAACCCATGACTAGGACGCCGCCATTTTGGCGCCACCAGCGCACGGTTCGGATTTTTTCGACCACGTCACCCTTGCTACAATAACAAAATAGTGTCACTCAAATTTGGGTACTAGAAAAATTACACTATAAAGTAGCGACGAATCCTATCGTCGTTCAGCTGCCGGAAAGCCTTCTTGAATTCGTTCTTCCAGTTAGTAACCGTGGATAAAGGGCACGTTATCAACACGTGCTTGGTTTGCGTCAGGCTGCCATGGGTGAAAAGAGTGTGAATCAAGGTGATAACTTGAAGGGTTTTGCCCAGTCCCATGCAATGGGCTAAAATGCAACCAGTACCGGGTTTACTCTTTAAGATGTCGACGCTCTCGTAGCAGGCTTGCCACATAAATTTAACGCCGTCTTTTTGGTGGGGTTTTAACATGTTGGTTAGGTGGTAATCCACGGTTATTAATGGGTTACCGGTTTGGACGTCCACGTCTAAGACGAAGTCTTCGCGTTGCGACTGAATGGAGTCGATCTACCAAGAATTCAACAATTATAATTAAATTAAAAAAACAAAAAAATGTGACAATACAGCTTTTGAGTGTTCTTCTATCCTCTGAATCCTCTCGTCTTCCTCGTACTTCGCTTTCTGCGTCAACTCGTTTAGTTCGTCGTCGCTCAGAATCGCTCTGATGTTTCTCCTTCCTCGACCCGCATTCTCGTCACTGGTCACTTCATCGACACTAAAAAAAAAAACACACAACGTTGGCGCTACCATAGATTAATATAGATGCGACATACAGGTTGATTTTGCAAAACCACCCTTATTGACATTGGAGTCCTCAACCGCCAAATTTAAATAGTCGATGCCAATAAAAAAATATTTTTGGTACATATTTAGATGATTTTGCATATTTTGTTTAACTAAGAATTAATTCTTTGTGCTTTAATGAATTTTTTTCGGGAAAATGTTTTGGATACACTGTGTTCTATTTTTTATGAAATTTTAAATGTTTTTGGTGACAATTTTTGTGGTTGTTTTCGACACACTGTATGATATTAACAGTGAGAAAAAGAAAATTAAAATTAAAATAATGGAAAATTCCAAAAATTGAGAAAACTCATAATAGAAAAACTGAAAATCGAAAAATGAAACATCAAAAAATAAAATTTAAAAACCGAATAACGAAAAATCGAGAAATCGAAACTCCCAAATTTAAAAAATCGGATAACTGAAAAATCGAAACATTCAAAAACTGGAAAATCGAAAAACCAAGAAATCGAGGAGTCGAAAAGTGGAACAATTGAGAAACCGAAATAGACCAAAATCGAAAAATCAAAATATCCAAATCTCGATAAATCGAGAAATCAAAAAACTTAAAAATTCGAAAAATTGAAAAATTGAGAGATTGAAAGATCAAAAGAACGAGAAATCGAAAAATAAAGAAATCGATAAACAAAAAGTTAAAAGTTGAAAAATTGGAAAACCGGAAAAATCAGAAAACGAAAAAATGGAAAACTGGAAAAACTGAGAAACCGAAATAGATCGAAATCTAAAAATTGAAAAATCGAAAACGTAAAAAGGTAGACACATCGAAAAATCCAGAAGTCAAAAATAGAAAAGCCGAAGAATTGAAATATTGAAAAATCCTAAAACTGAAAAAACGAAAAATCAAAAAAGTGAAGTCGAAAAATAGAAACCTTAAAAAATCGAAAAATTGAAAAATCAAAAAATTAAAGAATTGAAGAATAGGAAAATCGAAACACTCGAAGGTCAAGAAATGGGAAAATCAAAACATCGATTAATTGGAAAATCGAAAAATTGAGAGTTTGTGAAAGTCAAATTTGAAAAATTAAAAAATCGAAAATTTGACAAAATGACAATTGAAAAACAGAAAATCTAAAACCGGGAAGTAGAAAAATCAAAAGATCAAGAAATCGTGGAGTCGAAAAGTCGAACAATTGAGAAACCGAAATAGGCCAAAATCGAAAAATCGAAAAAATTGGACAATTTATAAATTGAGAAATTGACAATCAAAATATTGAAAAATCCAAATCTCGATAAATCGAGAATTCAAAAAACTTAAAAATTCGAAAAATTGAAAGATTGAAAGATCAAAAGAACGAGAAATCGAAAAGTGATGAAGTCGAAAAATCGAAAAATAAAGAAATCTATAAACAAAAAGTTAAAAGTTGAAAAATTGGAAAAGCGGAAAAATCAGAAAACGAAAAAATGGAAAACTGGAAAAACTAAGAAACCGAAATAGGTCGAAATAAAAAATTGAAAAAATGACAAATCGAAAACCTGAACAATCAATCAAATCTCGATAAATCGGGAATGAAAAATGAACAAATCGAACATCTAAAACCAGGAAGTCGAAAAATAGAAAGATTAAGAAATATTGAAAAATTAAAATATCAAACGATTGAAAAATCTAAAATTTAAAAATCCAAAAATTGAAAAATCGAAAAAGTAAAAAGGTAGACACATCGAAAAATCCAGAAGTCAAACATGGAAAAATCGAAAAACAGAAATATTGAAAAATCCCAAAACTGAAATATTGAAAAACTGAAAAATCAAAAACCTGAAAATAAAAAAATTAAAGAATTGAAGAACAATTGTAAAATTGAAAGTTTATGAAAGTCAAATTTGAAAAATTGAAAAATCGAAACATTTGAAAAATTGAAATATGGAAAAGCTGAAATGAAAAATCGAGAAATCGAAAAATCAAAAATTTTAAATATTGAAAAATCAAAATACCAAAAAAATGAAAAATCTAAAATTTAAAAATCGAAAAAGTAAAAAGGTGACACATCGAAAAAGTCAAAAATGGAAAAGTCGAAGAACAGAAATATTGAAAAATCCCAAAACTGAAAAATGAAAGAAAAACTGACGAATCGAAAAACTTAAAAATCCCAAAACTGAAATGTCCAAAAACAGAAGTTGAAAAATCGAAACCTGAAAAAATAGAAAAATTGAAAAACCAAAAACCTGAAATCAATTAATGGAAAAATCGACAAATAAAGAGTTTATAAAAGTCAAAAACTGAAAAATCGAAATACTTAAAAATCGAAAAATTCAAGAACTGAAGAACAGGAATATCGACACCCTCGAAAGTCAAGAAATGGGAAAATCAAAACATCGATTAATTGAAAAATCGAAAAATTGAAAGTTTATGTAAGTCAAATTTGAAAAATTGAAAAATCGGAAATTTGAAAAAACGACGATTGAAAAACACAAAAATCTAAAACCGGAAAGTCGAAAAATCGATGGATTAAAAAATCAAAACATTTGAAAAATTCGAAAACATGAAAATCGGAAATATCGAAGAACTGAAATGAAAAATCGAGAAATCGAAAAATTTAAAATTTTAAATAAGTATTGAAAAATTAAAATATCAAAAAACTGAAAAATCTAAAATTTAATAATCGAAAAATTGAAAAAACAACAATTGAAAAACAGAAAATCTAAAACCGGAAAGTAGAAAAATCGAAATAATAAGAAATCGAAAAATCTAAAATTTTAAAAATTAAAAAATATAAAATTTAAAAATCGAAAAATTGAAAAATCGGAAAAGTAAAATAATCGACACTTCGAAAAATCCAGGAGTCAAAAATCGAAATATTGAAAAATGCCAAAATTGAGATATCGAAAAACTGAAAAATTAAAGAAAAACAGAAAAATGGAAAACCTGAAAAATCCGAAAACTGAAATATCCAAAAACTGAGAACCTAAAAAGTGGAAAAATTGAGCAGTCGAAAAATCCAAAAAGTCAAGCCGAAAAATCGAAACCTTAAAAAAATTAAAAATGAAAAATCGAAAAATTAAAGAATTGAAGAACAATAATATCGAAACCCTCGAAAGTCCAAGAAATGGGAAAATCAAAACATCGATTAATTGAAAAATCGAAAAATTGACAGTTTATAAGTGTCAAATTTGAAAAATTGAAAAATTGAAAATATGAAAAAACGACGATTGAAAAACACAAAAATCTAAAACCGGGAAGTCGAAAAATCGCTGGATTAAGAAATCAAACCATTTGAAAAATTCGAAAACATGAAAATCGGAAATATCGAAGAACTGAAATGAAAAATCGAGAAATCGAAAAATCTAAAATTTTAAATATTGAAAAATTAAAATATCAAAAAACTAAAAATCTAAAATTTAATAATCGAAAAATTGAAAAAACGACAATTGAAAAACAGAAAATCTAAAACCGGAAAGTAGAAATGCGAAAGATTAAGAAATCGAAACATTTGAAAAATTTAAATATGGAAGAGCTGAAATGAAAAATTGAGAAATCGAAAAATCTAAAATTTTAAAAATTAAAAAATCTAAAATTTAAAAACCGAAAAATTGAAAAATCGGAAAAGTAAAATAATCGACACATCGAAAAATTCAGGAGTCAAAAATCGAAATATTGAAAAATGCCAAAACTGAGATATCCAAAAACTGAAAAATGAAAGCAAAACAGAAAAATGGAAAACCTGAAAAATCCGAAAACTGAAATATCCAAAAACTGAGAACCTAAAAAGTGGAAAAATTGAGCAGTCGAAAAATCCAAAAAGTCAAGTCGAAAAATCGAAACCTTAAAAAAATTAAAAATGAAAAATCGAAAAACTAAAGAATTGAAGAACAGGAATATCGAAACCCGTCAAGAAATGGGAAAATCAAAACATCGATTAATTGTAAAATCGAAAAACTGAAAGTTTATGAAAGTCAAATTTGAAAAATTGAAAAATCGAAAATTTGAAAAAACGACAATTGAAAAACAGAAAATCTAAAACCGGGAAGCCGAAAAATCGAAAGATTAGGAAATCGAAACATTTGGAAAATTGAAAAATGGAAGAGCTGAAATGAAAAATCGAGAAATCGAAAAATCAAAAATTTTAAATATTGAAAAATTAAAATACCAAAAAAATGAAAAATCTAAAATTTAAAAATCGAAAAAGTAAAAAGGTGACACATCGAAAAATCCAGAAGTCAAAAATGGAAAAGTCGAAGAACAGAAATATTGAAAAATCCCAAAACTGAAATATCGAAAAACTGAAAAATGCAAGAAAAACTGACGAATCGATAAACTTAAAAATTCCAAAACTGAAATGTCCAAAAACTGTGAAGTTGAAAAATCGAAACCTGAAAAAATAGAAAAATTGAAAAACCAAAAAACCTAAAATCAATTAATGGAAAAATCGACAAATAAAGAGTTTATAAAAGTCAAAAACTGAAAAATCAAAATATTAAAAAATCGAAAAATTCAAGAACTGAAGAACAGGAATATCAAAACCCTCGAAAGTCAAGAAATGGGAAAATCAAAACATCGATTAATTGAAAAATCGAAAAATTGAAAGTTTATGAAAGTCAAAATTGAAAAATCGAAAATTTGGAAAAACAACAATTGAAAAACACAAAAATCTAAAACCGGGAATTCGAAAAATCGATCAAAACATTTGAAAAATTCGAAAACATCAAAATCGGAAATATCGAAGAACTGAAATGAAAAATCGAAAAATCTAAAATTTAATAATCGAAAAATTGAAAAAACGACAATTGAAAAACAGAAAATCTAAAACCGGAAAGTAGAAAAATCGAAAGATTAAGAACTTGAAATATGGAAGAGCTGAAATGAAAAATTCAGAAATCGATAAAAAATCCAAAATTTTAAAAATTAAAAAATCTAAAATTTAAAAATCGAAAAATTGAAAAATCGGAAATGTAAAATAATCAACACATCGAAAAATTCAGGAGTCAAAAATCGAAAAGTCGAAGAATCGAAATATTGAAAAACGCCAAAACTGAGATATCGAAAAACTGAAAAATTAAAGCAAAACAGAAAAATGGAAAACCTGAAAAATCCGAAAACTGAAATATCCAAAAACTGAGAACCTAAAAAGTAGAAAAATTGAGCAATCAAAAAATCCAAATAGTCAAGTCGAAAAATCGAAACCTTAAAAAAATTAAAAATGAAAAATCGAAAAATTAAAGAATTGAAGAACAGGATTATCGAAACCCTCTAAAGTCAAGAAATGGGAAAATCAAAACATCGATTAATTGTAAAATCGAAAAATTGAAAGTTTATGAAAGTCAAATTTGAAAAATTGAAAAATCGAAAATTTGAAAAAACGACAATTGAAAAACAGAAAATCTAAAACCGGGAAGTCGAAAAATCGAGAAATCGAAAAATCAAAAATTTTAAATATTGAAAAATTAAAATACCAAAAAAATGAAAAATCTAAAATTTAAAAATCGAAAAAGTAAAAAGGTGACACATCGAAAAATCCAGAAGTCAAAAATGGAAAAGTCGAAGAATAGAAATATTGAAAAATCTCAAAACTGAAATATCGAAAAACTGAAAAATGAAAGAAAAACTGACGAATCGATAAACTTAAAAATCCCAAAACTGAAATGTCCAAAAACTGAGTAATTAAAAAATTGAGAAATCGAAAAATCAAAAAAGTGAAGTTGAAAAATCGAAACCTGAAAAAATAGAAAAATTGAAAAACCAAAAAACCTGAAATCAATGAATGGAAAAATCGACAAATAAAGAGTTTATAAAAGTCAAAAACTGAAAAATCGAAATATTTAAAAATCGAAAAATTAAAGAGAAAAACTGAAAACAGAGAAATTGAAAAATCAAAAATTGAATAAATAGGAAAACTGAGTCGACATTGGCCTGAGTGCGCAATTAATATTCATGTACATGGATTACCTAAACTATAAATTTTTTGAAAAATTTTGCGAAATTGGAAAAAATCTTGTATGATACACGTGAATAAACGAATTTTACCCACTCAAAAACATTATCACACTCAGCTTCGCCTAAACTGTTTTTTCGTTGGATAAAATTCACTTTTATTCACTTATACCACAAATAACTATTTTTCTATTGTAATTTGCGCAAACTCACAAAGTGACATCATCGCTGTCAGAATTCGAGCCTTCCGAATCCGTAATCACGACCGCCTCCCCGTCCGTCTTGATCTTAATCTGCAACTTCTCTTTCTTATCTTCGTCCTCATCCTCGTCGGCTCTCTCTAGCGGGTCGTTGAGCACCACCACGGGCTCGTCCTCGTCTTCGCTTTCCGAGCTCGTATCGAAGAAAATCTCGTTCCTCCAACTACCCTTCTTCTTTTCGGGTCGCTCCACTTCCACGACCTGCTTGACTTCGTCGTCGCTCTTGATTTCCTGAATTTCCGGTTCTTCATTTTTTGGTTTTTCTTCGTCGTCTTTATTTTTAGATTCTAGATCCGAACTGGTGTCTGAAATGTCCGAGTCTATGTCTATGTCGTCGTCGTCGTCTTCGTCGTCTAGGAGATCGACTAGTTCGTCTGCTAAAGCGGTAACGTCTGGAAGCGCTTCGTTCGGTACAGATGGAGGACGATCGATTTCTAAATCTAACTGTAAATCTAGATTTTGATCTTGATCTAGTGCGAGGTCTGGAGTTACGCTATCGGACGATGTCGACGACGACGAGCTACTAATAACTCTGATTCGCTTCCGCTTTTTTCTTTTAATTTTGTGGATTTCTTTGACGCAGCGACGTTTGTTGATGGTGTGCGTATTGCACAAACTGACAAAAATCGGGAATTGGTTAAAAACAAAAACAAATTTTTTTAGTCATACTTTGCTATTTCGTCGTCGTCCATATCATCCAACCGCTTGTCCAACTTAATGTCGAACGTTTTGAGTCGAAATTGCGGTTCTTCTTCTTCTGTTGAGCTTTCAGAGTCTGAACGACTTTTTTCGCTTTCTGAATCCCGCTCTTTCCACGACGTTTCGGGTTTCCAGTCATCGCTTGAATCGTTGTCTGACTCCCTGGCGCTTCCGTCGTCGCTTGAATCGTTGTCTGACTTCCTAAAACTCCCCTGTAATTTGTACATAAGCCAAACTTTCAACTTACATGGACTCGTCTGAATCCGTTAAACTCGATAACGAAATTTCGTTTTCGAGGATTCTCAACGCTTCATCGCTCTCCTTCTCAGTCACTGGACCTTCGCCAATAGCTTTATTTAGTAAGTCTAGAAGCTCGTGATTGTCCTTTTGAACTTGTTCTCTAGCATCTGAAGGCATTTCTGTTAATAAACATTCGACAAATTAGCGAATGTTTGTGGTCTAGAGACGCCTTCAGTGATTAAAAAAAACTACGACTAGACACAAACAAAACGGCGGCTACTTAAAGCAACAACACAAACACTGACTAAAATATTAAATACCTTTGTTCTTTTCAAATTTATCTAACTCAGCGGCAATTAAATCATCTAGAAAATACAAGCGTGTATTCTATAAATTAGTAAAGCTAAATTACCATCTATATCGTCGAAATCAAAACTTTGAGACTCTCCATTAACTCTCTCTTTCGTTGGCTCTTCAGTTTTGTCATCTTGTTTGTCCAACGCATCCAACGCTTTAGTAAATTCGTCGCCTGATTCATCCCCATCTGAAAGACCTTTCACAAACAATACAACTACTTACTGACGTGTCAAAAATTACCGCCAACAGAGCCATTGGTGACCGGAACATCAAAATTTCGAACGCTCTTCTCACTATCGGTATCACTTCCACTTTCCGCATCGCCGTTTTTTTCAACAGTCGCGCTGGACCCTTGCTTGCTATTTTTGTCACTTTTGGGGGGCTCGGCTTGCTCTACATCTACGACCGCTACAATTTTGTTTTTTCTTGTATACACACCTACTCACCTTCATCCGGCGTTAAATCTACATCAGTCTCTGCAGCAGCTGCACTCTCTTCTAAACTAAAATTCGCTTTTTCCGTAGGACTAACTACATCTTTGGGACGTTCGTTAAGAGAAGCACTTTTTTCATAATCACTAATGGCAGTATCAAACGTATTTTTAAACGCACTTACATTGGTATTGACGCGATCTAAAAGGATTTGTATGTTGGTAGATATGGAGGAAACTGTCTCCTGGCGCAACAACTCGGCATCGTTTAGGTACGTATTTGACTTTCTTATAACCGATGCAGACATAGACATTAAGTCTTTAAGCACGTCGGCAAACGATTTTTGCAGCGTTTGCAGCGGATCAGACATGGCAAACTATCACAGTAGAGGAATCTAGGAAAGTGCCGACTCGGGTAAAAAAAAAGGTTATGTTGTGTTTATTAATTCCGGGTGTCACTATGCTACAAAAACAAGCTCAGAATAGCCCAACTTACACAAAAAAGGGGCTTACCATTATTCAACTAATGCATTTCTAATAACACCTGAGTTTGAAAATAATAACCACCCAAAACTTTTCTCAAATCGTGAAATGTCAACGCGCGGGTGACAATCGAGTAACGCGAAAATCACTACTTTGTCAGAAAAATTAGTAAAATAAAAACTCGCACGCTGTGTATGATTTTTGTAACTTGAACGAGGGTGTTAGAAGTTTAATTAAGTTGAATTTGTGTCCATTTCGAGCGCGGTATAATTATTAATTACACTTGATACTTGAGTTGGCATTCGTGCTACTGCAACAAATTCCCCAAAACCCGAAACTCCCCAAGAATCAGCGATTCGGCATCTACCAAAAAGGATGCGTTTTAAACCAATCCTTTAAGGATTTTCCGACTTCTGGCCCTAATAACATACATGATCTAACTACGCAAAGCACACAGCATGACTTCCATTATTAAATTGCAAGCCCTGTCGGGGGCCATGGACGAGTCGCCCCCTTGCTACGTCCTCCAAGTCGACGAAGTTCGAATCCTTTTAGACTGCGGCTGGGACGAACATTTCGATATGGAAATCATCAAAGAACTGAGACGGTAAACCTAACCTCAATCGTGACCCCGTTACTGACCTTTGGTTGCAGACATGTCCACACTATAGACGCTGTTCTGTTGTCGTACCCCGACGTGTCCCACTTGGGGGCTCTGCCCTTCGCTATCGGCAAGTTGGGTTTGAACTGCCCCATCTACGCCACCATCCCGGTGTACAAAATGGGGCAAATGTTCATGTACGACTTGTACCAGTCTCACCATAACATGGAAGACTTTGATTTGTTTTCGCTGGATGACGTGGACGCGACGTTCGAGAAAATCATCCAGTTGAAGTACAACCAGAGTGTACCTTTGAAGGGTAAAGGGTATGGGTTGACCATCACGCCTTTACCGGCTGGACACATGATTGGTGGGACTATTTGGAAAATTATGAAAGTTGGTGAAGAGGATATCATTTACGCGAACGATTTTAACCACAAAAAAGAGAGACACTTGAATGGGTGCGAACTGGAGAAGTTGCAACGACCGTCTCTTTTTATTATTGATGCTTTTAATGCGACGTACCAGCAAGCGAGGCGACGGGCAAGAGACGAAAAATTGATGAGTAATAATTTGACAGAGTTTCCATCGCACAAAATTAATTCAAAAAATTGTAGCTAACATTTTACAGACTTTGAGGAACAACGGGAACGTTTTAGTGGCCGTGGACACCGCTGGTCGGGTTTTAGAGTTAGCACACATGTTGGACCAACTATGGAGGAATAAAGAATCAGGGCTTTTGGCTTATTCTTTAGCTTTGTTGAATAATGTTAGTTATAATGTGGTTGAGTTTGCCAAGTCGCAGATCGAGTGGATGAGCGATAAGTTGATGAGGAGCTTCGAGGGGGCCCGCAATAACCCCTTCCAGTTTAAACATTTACAACTGTGTCATAGTTTACTCGAGTTACAGAAAGTCCCGAGCCCTAAGGTGGTTCTAGCGAGTTCGGCCGACATGGAAAGCGGGTTTTCTCGAGAGTTGTTTTTGCAGTGGTGCTCCAACCCCAGTAACAGCATCATTATCACATCCAGGTAACCCGATTTAGGGATTTTTGTGTCTGAGTTGTACCAACTGAGTTTCAAGGACGTCGCCAGGAACGCTGGCGAGAGATTTAATTGATAATGGGGGCAACAGACAGATTGATTTGATTGTGAAGCGGCGGGTGAAACTAGAAGGTAGCGAACTGGAGGAGTACCAAAAGAACCAAAGAGACAGACGCGACGAAAACGCCAACAAAGAGTAAGTACTGGTTTATGTTGGTGGAAAATAAATATCCCTATTGTTCAGCGAGGAGTCCGACTCCGACGACGACATCGAAATGAGTGTGATCTCAAAAGGCCGACACGACATAGTAATCAAACAGGAGGGCAAACAATCCGGCGGATTCTTCAAAGTTACTAAAAAACAATACCCGATTTACCCCTTCCAGGAAGAAAAAATCAAGTGTGACGAATACGGCGAAATCATCCGACCGGAAGACTACAAACTGGCGGAGGTCGTGCCAGAAGCCGAAGACAACAAAGAAAACGTAGTGATAAAAAAGGAAGAGGAAGATATTCGTAATATTAATCAAACTTAAAATTTCAAAAAAATACAAGTTGTTTTGTAGCTGAGGTGACTGAAGCGCCCTCTAAGTGTATCGTACTTAGCAGAACTGTCCAAGTCAACTGTCAAGTCCAGTATATAGATTTCGAAGGTCGCTCCGACGGGGAGTCCTTGATGAAGATTTTGTCTCAGTTGAGGCCCCGGAGGGTTGTTATTGTACGTGGGTCGCCTGAAAGCACAGCCACTATTCAGAATCACTGTCAGGAAAATATCGACGCGAGGGTGTTCGCCCCAAATCGGGGCGAAGTGGTGGATGCCACCACGGAGACGCACATTTATCAAGTGAGGTTGACGGACGCTTTGGTGTCTCAGCTGAACTTCCAGAAGGCGAAAGACGCCGAAGTGGCGTGGGTTAATGCCGAGATTGTGGTGAGGAAGGGGCAGTTGGACGCGAAGAGGATGAACGTGGATAATGAGCCCATGGATGGTAAGGGGGACAAAGAAAATAAGCAAAAAATTTTAACTGTCATTCCAAAAGTGTATTTTGGAGGGGTGTGGTTGGTAGTATTTTGTTTGAAATGTCAAAATAGTGTGATTTGGTGGTTGTGGTATGACCAATATGACTGGTTTGAAGCGAAGTTAAATGGCTAAAATGGGTTCTGGTTTTATGATGAAATGGGTGAGACTAAATTAACTAGTTCTTCATAAATGCACTTGTAAAAAAGTCTTTAAACACATCTGGTGATTTTTGTTATAAAACTAAACAAACCAAACCATGGCAAGTGACATTTAGTTCAAGTTTTTGAAAAATTATAAAAAAAATTAGAATCAATTAAATTAAAATTTTGTTGGGTTAATACCGAGATTGTGGTTGGACGCTAGGAGGATGAACGTAACGAACAAAGAATTTTCTTTGACTGTCATTCCAAAAGTGTAGTATGTAGTGTCTTTTGGAGGAGTGTGGTAGGTATTTTGTTTGAAATGTCAAAATAGTGTGATTTTGGTACGACCAACATAACTGGTTTGAAGTGAAGTTAAATGGCTAAAATGGGTTCTGGTTTTAAGGTCAAATGGGTGAGACTGAATTAATGAGTTCTTCATAAATGCGCTTGTAAAAACTCTTTAAAACACATCTGGTGATTTTTGTTATAAAACTAAAACAACCAAACCATGACAAGTGACATTTATTAGGAGTTCAAGTTTTTGAAAAATATTAAACAATTTAGAATCAATTAAATTAAAATTTTGTTGGGTTAATACCGAGATTCTGGTTGGACGCTAGGAGGATGAACGTAGATAATGAGCAAATAATTTTCTTTAACTGTCATTCCAAAAGTGTAGTGCAGGGTCATCAAAATTGATTGAGGCAGTTGGTACCCCTGTTTTTGTCGTGAAGTTTGTCAACCTTATGACAGATTTGTTTAAGGTTATATGGCAATGAATTCAGTGGCGTGACAAAAATTAGAAACTTCAAATCTGACAACTAATGTTTTTACCAAAAAAAAAAAGTCGAAAAAAGACGCCACTGAGTTTTGAAATTTGAAACTTGAAACTTCAAATCTGACAGCTAATATTTTAATACAACTTAATAAACCAAATTATTCAAGTTCAGGTTCACCAACTCTCTCAATCAATTTTGATGACTCTGTAGTGTCTTTTGGAGGGGCGTGGTTGGTATTTTGTTTGAAATGTCAAAATAGTGTGATTTTGGTATGACCAACATAACTGGTTTGAAGTGAAGTTAAATGGCTAAAATGGGTTCTGGTTTTAAGGTCAAATGGGTGAGACTGAACTAATGAGTTCTTCATAAATGCACTTGTAAAAACTCTTTAAACACATCTGGTGATTTTTGTTATAAAACTAAACCAACCAAACCATACAAGTGACATTTATTAGGAGTTCAAATTTTTGGAAAATATTAAAAAATTTAGAATCAATTCAATTAAAATTTTGTTGGGTTAATACCGAGATTCTGGTTGGACGCTAGGAGGATTAACGTAGATAATGAGCAAATAATTTTCTTTAACTGTCATTCCAAAAGTGTAGTACAGGGTCATCAAAATTGATTGAGACAGTTGGTACCCCTGTTTTTGTCGTGAAGTTTGTCAACCTTATGACAGATTTGTTTCAGGTTATATGGCAATGAATTCAGTACCGTGACAAAAATTAGAAACTTCAAATCTGACAACTAATGTTTTTACCAAAAAAAAAGTTGAAAAAAGACGCCACTGAATTTTGAAATTTGAAACTTGAAACTTCAAATCTGACAGCTAATATTTCTATACAACTTAATAAACCAAATTATTCAAGTTCAGGTTTACCAACTCTCTCAATCAATTTTGATGACTCTGTAGTGTCTTTTGGAGGGGTGTGGTTGGTATTTTGTTTGAAATGTCAAAATAGTGTGATTTTGGTATGACCAACATAACTGGTTTGAAGTGAAGTTAAATGGCTAAAATGGGTTCTGGTTTTATGGTGAAATGGGTGAGATTAAATTAACGAGTTCTTCATAAATGCACTTGTAAAAAAACTCTTTAAACACATCTGGTGATTTTTGTTATAAAACTAAACCAACTAAACCAGACAAGTGACATTTAGGAGTTCAAGTTTTTGAAAAATATTAAAAAATTTAGAATCAATTAAATTAAAATTTTGTTAGGTTAATACCGAGATTCTGGTTGGACGCTAGGAGGATGAACGTAGATAATGAGCAAATAATTTTCTTTAACTGTCATTCCAAAAGTGTAGTACAGGGTCATCAAAATTGATTGAGACAGTTGGTACCCCTGTTTTTGTCGTGAAGTTTGTCAACCTTAGGACAGATTTGTTTAAGGTTATATGGCAATGAATTCAGTGGCGTGACAAAAATTAGAAACTTCAAATCTGACAACTAATGTTTTTACCAAAAAAAAAGTCGAAAAAAGACGCCACTGAGTTTTGAAATTTGAAACTTGAAACTTCAAATCTGACAGCTAATATTTCTATACAACTTAATAAACCAAATTATTCAAGTTCAGGTTTACCAACTCTCTCAATCAATTTTGATGACTCTGTAGTGTCTTTTGGAGGGGTGTGGTTGGTATTTTGTTTGAAATATCAAAATAGTGTGATTTTGGTATGACCAACATAACTGGTTTGAAGTGAAGTTAAATGGCTAAAATGTGTTCTGGTTTTAAGGTCAAATGGGTGAGACTGAATTAATGAGTTCTTCATAAATGCACTTGTAAAAACTCTTTAAACACATCTGGTGATTTTTGTTATAAAACTAAAACAACCAAACCATGACAAGTGACATTTATTAGGAGTTCAAATTTTCGGAAAATATTAAAAAATTTAGAATCAATTAAATTAAAATTTTGTTGGGTTAATACCGAGATTCTGGTTGGACGCTAGGAGGATGAACGTAGATAATGAGCAAATAATTTTCTTTAACTGTCATTCCAAAAGTGTAGTACAGGGTCATCAAAATTGATTGAGACAGTTGGTACCCCTGTTTTTGTCGTGAAGTTTGTCAACCTTATGACAGATTTGTTTAAGGTTATATGGCAATGAATTCAGTGGCGTGACAAAAATTAGAAACTTCAAATCTGACAACTAATGTTTTTACCAAAAAAAAAGTCGAAAAAAGACGCCACTGAGTTTTGAAATTTGAAACTTGAAACTTCAAATCTGACAGCTAATATTTCTATACAACTTAATAAACCAAATTATTCAAGTTCAGGTTCACCAACTCTCTCAATCAATTTTGATGACTCTGTAGTGTCTTTTGGAGGGGTGTGGTTGGTATTTTGTTTGAAATGTCAAAATAGTGTGATTTTGGTATGACCAACATAACTGGTTTGAAGTGAAGTTAAATGGCTAAAATGGGTTCTGGTTTTAAGGTCAAATGGGTGAGACTGAATTAATGAGTTCTTCATAAATGCGCTTGTAAAAACTCTTTAAACACATCTGGTGATTTTTGTTATAAAACTAAACCAACTAAACCATGACAAGTGACATTTATTAGGAGTTCAAATTTTTGGAAAATATTAAAAAATTTAGAATCAGTTAAATTAAAATTTTGTTGGGTTAATACCGAGATTCTGGTTGGACGCTAGGAGGATGAACGTAGATAATGAGCAAATAATTTTCTTTAACTGTCATTCCAAAAGTGTAGTACAGGGTCATCAAAATTGATTGAGACAGTTGGTACCCCTGTTTTTGTCGTGAAGTTTGTCAACCTTATGACAGATTTGTTTAAGGTTATATGGCAATGAATTCAGTGGCGTGACAAAAATTAGAAACTTCAAATCTGACAACTAATGTTTTTACCAAAAAAAAAAGTCGAAAAAAGACGCCACTGAGTTTTGAAATTTGAAACTTGAAACTTCAAATCTGACAGCTAATATTTCTGTACAACTTAATAAACCAAATTATTCAAGTTCAGGTTTACCAACTCTCTCAATCAATTTTGATGACTCTGTAGTGTCTTTTGGAGGGGTGTGGTTGGTATTTTGTTTGAAATGTCAAAATAGTGTGATTTTGGTATGACCAACATAACTGGTTTGAAGTGAAGTTAAATGGCTAAAATGGGTTCTGGTTTTAAGGTCAAATGGGTGAGACTGAATTAATGAGTTCTTCATAAATGCGCTTGTAAAAACTCTTTAAACACATCTGGTGATTTTTGTTATAAAACTAAACCAACCAAACCATGACAAGTGACATTTATTAGGAGTTCAAATTTTCGGAAAATATTAAAAAATTTAGAATCAATTAAATTAAAATTTTGTTGGGTTAATACCGAGATTCTGGTTGGACGCTAGGAGGATGAACGTAGATAATGAGCAAATAATTTTCTTTAACTGTCATTCCAAAAGTGTAGTACAGGGTCATCAAAATTGATTGAGACAGTTGGTACCCCTGTTTTTGTCGTGAAGTTTGTCAACCTTATGACAGATTTGTTTCAGGTTATATGGCAATGAATTCAGTGGCGTGACAAAAATTAGAAACTTCAAACCTGACAACTAATGTTTTTGCCAAAAAAAAAGTCGAAAAAAGACGCCACTGAGTTTTGAAATTTGAAACTTGAAACTTCAAATCTGACAGCTAATATTTCTATACAACTTAATAAACCAAATTATTCAAGTTCAGGTTTACCAACTCTCTCAATCAATTTTGATGACTCTGTAGTGTCTTTTGGAGGGGTGTGGTTGGTATTTTGTTTGAAATGTCAAAATAGTGTGATTTTGGTATGACCAACATAACTGGTTTGAAGTGAAGTTAAATGGCTAAAATGGGTTCTGGTTTTAAGGTCAAATGGGTGAGACTGAATTAATGAGTTCTTCATAAATGCGCTTGTAAAAACTCTTTAAACACATCTGGTGATTTTTGTTATAAAACCAAACCAACTAAACCATGACAAGTGACATTTATTAGAAGTTCAAATTTTCGGAAAATATTAAAAAATTCAGAATCAATTAAATTAAAATTTTGTTGGGTTAATACCGAGATTCTGGTTGGACGCTAGGAGGATGAACGTAGATAATGAGCAAATCATTTTCTTTAACTGTCATTCCAAAAGTGTAGTACAGGGTCATCAAAATTGATTGAGTGAGTTGCCATATAACCTTATGACAGATTTGTTTAAGGTTATATGGCAATGAATTCAGTGCCGTGACAAAAATTAGAAACTTCAAATCTGACAACTAATGTTTTTACCAAAAAAAAAAGTCGAAAAAAGACGCCACTGAGTTTTGAAATTTGAAACTTGAAACTTCAAATCTGACAGCTAATATTTCTATACAACTTAATAAACCAAATTATTCAAGTTCAGGTTTACCAACTCTCTCAATCCAAAGACTTCAAATATATATAGACTGGCTGTCACCCTAAATTCTATTGTATTTCGTGAAGCAGTTCTGTCAACAGAAATCGCCGCCATTGCTGTTACTTTTCTGTCACTAATAACACCGCAACAACCCATACCCATAACCTATTTCTTTCTTATGTATCACTTTCAGTTGTGACGTGGATGTGATCACAGTTTATTGGGTTCTTTTGATCGTGTTTCCGTGCATTAAGTTTCAGCAATTATAGTATTGTTGAAATTTATTAGTTTGTGTGTGTATGGTGTGCAAACTCACTATTCATATGAAGTCGATTGTATACGATTTTAAACTTCCCGCGGTTTCGGTCACATCCAAAATGGCGACCGGTTAGCTTCAGCTTTTTCGTTCTATCGCCGGTCTATATATATTTGAAGTCTTTGTCTCAATCAATTTTGATGACTCTGTAGTGTCTTTTGGAGGGGTGTGGTTGGTATTTTGTTTGAAATGTCAAAATAGTGTGATTTTGGTATGACCAACATAACTGGTTTGAAGTGAAGTGAAATGGCTAAAATGGGTTCTGGTTTTAAGGTCAAACGGGTGAGACTGAATTAATGAGTTCTTCATAAATGCGCTTGTAAAAACTCTTTAAACACATCTGGTGATTTTTGTTATAAAACTAAACCAACCAAACCATGACAAGTGACATTTATTAGGAGTTCAAATTTTCGGAAAATATTAAAAAATTTAGAATCAATTAAATTAAAATTTTGTTGGGTTAATACCGAGATTCTGGTTGGACGCTAGGAGGATGAACGTAGATAATGAGCAAATAATTTTCTTTAACTGTCATTCCAAAAGTGTAGTACAGGGTCATCAAAATTGATTGAGAGAGTTGGTACCCCTGTTTTTGTCGTGAAGTTTGTCAACCTTATGACAGATTTGTTTAAGATTATATGGCAATGAATTCAGTGGCGTGACAAAAATTAGAAACTTCAAATCTGACAACTAATATTTTTACCAAAAAAAAAAGTCGAAAAAAGACGCCACTGAGTTTTGAAATTTGAAACTTGAAACTTCAAATCTGACAGCTAATATTTCTATACAACTTAATAAACCAAATTATTCAAGTTCAGGTTTACCAACTCTCTCAATCAATTTTGATGACTCTGTAGTGTCTTTTGGAGGGGTGTGGTTGGTATTTTGTTTGAAATGTCAAAATAGTGTGATTTTGGTATGACCAACATAACTGGTTTGAAGTGAAGTTAAATGGCTAAAATGGGTTTTGGTTTTATGGTGAAATGGGTGAGACTAGATGAACGAGTTCTTGATAAATGCACTTGAAAAAACTCTTTAAACACATCTGGTGATTTTTGTTATAAAACTAAACCAACTAAACCATACCCAGTGACATTTAGGAGTTCAAGTTTTTTAAAAATATTAAAAATTTTTAAATCAATTAAAATAAAATTTTGTTGGGTTAATACCGAGATTGTGGTTGCACGCTAGGAGGATGAACGTAGATAATGAACAAATAATTTTCTTTAACTGTCATTCCAAAAGCGTATTAGTGTCTTTTGGAGGGGTGTGGTTGGTATTTTGTTTGAAATGTCAAAATAGTGTGATTCTGGTATGACCAATATAACTGGTTTAAAGTGAAGTTAAATGGCTAAAATGGATTCTGGTTTTATGGGGAAATGGGTGAGACTAAATTAACGAGTTCTTCATAAATGCACTCGTAAAAAACTCTTTAAACACATCTGGTGATTTTTGTTATAAAACTAAACCAACTAAATCATGGCAAGTGACATTTAGGAGTTCAAGTTTTTGAAAAATATTAAACAATTTAGAATCAATTAAATTAAAATTTTGTTGGGTTAATACCGAGATTCTGGTTGGACGCTAGGAGGATGAACGTAGATAATGAGCAAATAATTTTCTTTAACTGTCATTCCAAAAGTGTAGTACAGGGTCATCAAAATTGATTGAGACAGTTGGTACCCCTGTTTTTGTCGTGAAGTTTGTCAACCTTATGACAGATTTGTTTAAGGTTATATGGCAATGAATTCAGTGGCGTGACAAAAATTAGAAACTTCAAATCTGACAAACAATGTTTTTACCAAAAAAAAAAGTCGAAAAAAGACGCCACTGAGTTTTGAAATTTGAAACTTGAAACTTCAAATCTGACAGCTAATATTTCTATACAACTTAATAAACCAAATTATTCAAGTTCAGGTTTACCAACTCTCTCAATCAATTTTGATGACTCTGTAGTGTCTTTTGGAGGGGTGTGGTTGGTATTTTGTTTGAAATGTCAAAATAGTGTGATTTTGGTATGACCAACATAACTGGTTTGAAGTGAAGTTAAATGGCTAAAATGGGTTCTGGTTTTAAGGTCAAATGGGTGAGACTGAATTAATGAGTTCTTCATAAATGCGCTTGTAAAAACTCTTTAAACACATCTGGTGATTTTTGTTATAAAACTAAACCAACCAAACCATGACAAGTGACATTTATTAGGAGTTCAAATTTTCGGAAAATATTAAAAAATTTAGAATCAATTAAATTAAAATTTTGTTGGGTTAATACCGAGATTCTGGTTGGACGCTAGGAGGATGAACGTAGATAATGAGCAAATAATTTTCTTTAACTGTCATTCCAAAAGTAGTACAGGGTCATCAAAATTGATTGAGAGAGTTGGTACCCCTGTTTTTGTCGTGAAGTTTGTCAACCTTATGACAGATTTGTTTCAGGTTATATGGCAATGAATTCAGTGGCGTGACAAAAATTAGAAACTTCAAACCTGACAACTAATGTTTTTGCCAAAAAAAAAAAGTCGAAAAAAGACGCCACTGAGTTTTGAAATTTGAAACTTGAAACTTCAAATCTGACAGCTAATATTTCTATACAACTTAATAAACCAAATTATTCAAGTTCAGGTTTACCAACTCTCTCAATCAATTTTGATGACTCTGTAGTGTCTTTTGGAGGGGTGTGGTTGGTATTTTGTTTGAAATGTCAAAATAGTGTGATTTTGGTATGACCAACATAACTGGTTTGAAGTGAAGTTAAATGGCTAAAATGGGTTCTGGTTTTAAGGTCAAATGGGTGAGACTGAATTAATGAGTTCTTCATAAATGCGCTTGTAAAAACTCTTTAAACACATCTGGTGATTTTTGTTATAAAACTAAAACAACCAAACCATGACAAGTGACATTTATTAGGAGTTCAAATTTTCGGAAAATATTAAAAAATTTAGAATCCATTAAATTAAAATTTTGTTGGGTTAATACCGAGATTCTGGTTGGACGCTAGGAGGATGAATGTAGATAATGAGCAAATAATTTTCTTTAACTGTCATTGCAAAAGTGTATTAGTGTCTTTTGTAGGGGTGTGGTTGGTATTTTGTTTGAAATGTCAAAATAGTGTGATTCTGGTATGACCAATATGACTAGTTTAAAGTGAAGTTAAATGGCTAAAATGGGTACTGGTTTTATAGTGAACCAAGACCTATAAGGTTATATGGCCATCATAAAAGTAGTTGACCGCAAATAAATACCCCCTTTGTGTGGTTCGAACTAAGCTTACCGGTTGGCAATAAATCATCTTCTAAACATTTCTTGCTCATATTTAACAGGGCCGGCTTTCAAAGCGAGTGGTTATTTCGGAATCCTCAGCGGCTGCAGGTAGTAAAGAAATAGTGGAGTGGTGGATTTTCATATTTAGTGAAAGCCGCCCCCGAACGAAACCACAAGAGCCGGTCGAGCTGCAGTGGACACGCTATTTACGACCCTAAAACCTTTTCTATTGTAAACAACTTAACTTCGACACAATGGGATGATTTTATGATGGCCATATAACCTTATAACTTGGTTCACTATATGTGAAATGGGTGAGACTAAATTAACGAGTTCTTCGTATTTGTAAAAAACTCGTTAAAAAGATCTGGGGATTTTTGTTATAAAACTAAACTAAAGCAAGTGACTTTTAGTTAAAAAATTTGAAAAATTTAAAAAAATTAGAATTAAATAAATTAAAATTGTGTTCAAATTCGTCAACAAACATCAAACATGTGTCACTAAAAAGAGGGCACAATTAATTGTCTGACGTAAAAGCATGATGTCATTTTTGAATGACGTTTGTTTTTAAATTTGTATTCTAATTTAGTCTACTTTTAATAAACGATTGAATCGGTTCTTGGAAATCTGCAATCTGGTGTTTAAAATGCTGGAACACATTTGAATACTCTTTCAATCGCGCGCCTGATTTCTTGAAATTGGCGGTGACCTTGACGACTACAAACAACTGTTAACTTGTTTTAGTGGACGAGGAAGACTCGAAAATCCTTACTCTGGAGCCCTACCCCACCACCATCCCCCACGAGACGGTCTTCGTCAACGAGCTGAAACTCTCCGAGTTCAAGCAAGTTTTGGCCAAGAGCAACATAACCTCTGAATTTTCAGGGGGCGTCCTGTGGTGTTGTAACGGTACTCTGGCCATCCGGAGGGTGGAGTCGGGCCGGGTGATCCTCGAGGGCTGCATTTCCGAAGACTACTACCGCGTGAAAGAACTCCTCTACGAACAATACGCAGTACTATGAATGTATTTTATTTTTTATAAAAAAATTTTGTATCATTGTTGGTTGTTTGTTTTTTCCCGTGCTTTACTACCGAATCACGTTTTACGACCATTGTTTACTCCCGCCCCTCCAGCCGCAGCGACTTAAGTCAACCCATCTGTCAAATGTGACATTTATTGGACAATAATACCGCGATAAATCGGCCGGCTCCCGATGACGTCACCTTCCAGCGCCCAGCGAAAAATTGCGGTTTGGATTTTTCGAACAATGATTGGGATTAAAAGGGACCCAAACAGGCTAATATTAGCAGCCGAGGCGTCGGCGGGCCAATGACAGCGCCGCCCTCCCCACCCTTACTCAATTCATTCAGTTATCTTTTCGCTGAGCATCATCGGCTATCTCTTTTTACTTGTGTACAGTAGATGGTACAGAAAGTGTGGTGTCGTTGTGTTTTCTGTTTTCTTGTGTTTTTCTCGTGGAAAGAGCGTGCGAAAAGCCAGCGGAAAAGTACGCAGCGTGGATTCGGGGTCCATTGAGGCGAAAGTAAGTCGGGCCGGCGGGGGCGGGCGGCGGCGGTCAAAGAGCACCGCCAGCACTTATATTTGCGAAGTCGGGAAATGCGAGAGGGTGTCATTCTACGCTGTTGCGAGGATCCGCGATAAGTGATAAGAGAAAGGGACGGAGATAGTGGGATTTTCGTGGAACGAGGAGTGTGTCGATGGGATTTGTTTGATTGAGCGCCAAAAATCGATTGTTTTACCTGTGGTGATTGATATCGATGGTAAACTTCCAAGAATACCACTTGACGATCAAACGACACTTTATTGGTGTTGTCGTTATTGTAATTATTCAAATTTCCAAATACTAACGAGTGGATAAGTACATCACAGTGCATATTTAATGTCCAATTAAAAGTGCATGCCCAAAAGCGTACACACACACACTCGATTTGTTATTTAAATTATTCCGATTTAGGAATGAGGGGCCTTGCACACAAAGGACCCCCCGACCGTGAACCAATCGCGATTAGTGCACCTGCATTCAATGCACACAGGTTACCGGGGCGAAATCCGAGAGGGTTGCCCCCTTTCCACTGACTGATCCGCTAAAAACGGGAACTCTATTCATTGTTGCCACTCTTCGAGTATCTCCGGAATAAAAATGTGTTAATTATTATGTCATCACGTTGCATCAAGTGTATCACCACAATGTGTTTACTTTTACACTTCTGGAATTAAAACCGCGATCGATCCAAATTTGATTTTTCCGCATTTTTTTTACGTGACAAATCGTGATGATTGATAGATACAGTTGTTCGGGAGGTCGGACCTACCTGCGACGTCACGACTTGATTGTATAAATAGGCCAAAGGTGCTACACGGAAAACAAATGTCGAAAAGTGTTTGCAACCGGTGTCGTAACGCATTGTTTGGGCGATTATTTCATCAAAATTATTTTTGTGTCACATGGTGAGTGGCTAAAAGGATCAAAAATAAATCTTACTGTTGTTTAATTTGAGAAGTGATGGAAACACGATAAGGTGATGACTTGGTTGAAATAACACGCAAACGTCGTGTAAAACAAGTGTTCTTGCAGTTTATGGCATGCGAACGAGGCGGCAAATTTGAAACAAATTTTTGAAAAGAGTTATTTTTGATTTTTGAATCTGATTGACAGCTAATACAAGAAGAAATATAGTAGACCAAAAGCAATAGGGTTATATGGCCTTCATAAAATTATCCCATTGTGTCGAAGTTAAGTTGTTTCAATAGAAAAGGTTTTAGGGTGGTAAATAATGTGTCCACTGCAGCTCGACCAGCTGTTGAGGTTTCGTTCAGGGACGGCTTTCACTAAATATGTAAATCCACCACTCCACCACCACTCCATTATTTCTTTACTACCTGCAGCCGCTGAGGGTTCCAAAATAACCACTCGCTTTGAAAGCCGGCCCTGTTAAATGTGAGCAAGAAATGTTTAGAAGACGATTTATTGCCAACCGGTAAGCTTAGTGCGAACCACACAAAGGGGGAATTTATTTGCGGTCAACTACTTTTATGATGGTCATATAACCTTATAGCTTTTGGGCTACTTTATAAATAGAGATCAATTTGTGACAACTTACTTGCTATAGTCATCCTCTCCAAAAAGTGATGACAGTAACACTTCTATTAATCCCCGAGTCGATGTTAATATTTTCGAAAATTGTCTGTTAATGACTTCTGAGATGATTTGTAAAATTTGACACTTCAGCGACGTCACCGATTTTTTGAAGTGAGTGCGTGTTTTTGTGCAGGGTGCTGCCAACGTGAAGAAATTCTAGTGCTAGGTTCCAAGTGGATCACTTATCACAGCCGTGACATTCAAAGGCGGTTTGGTGGCGTGGAATCCCATCTCTTTTTCGTTTTGCGTGACAAATTAATAGTAATTAATTCCGCATGGAGTTGGCAACGTGACAGAAAATGTTGCCACACTGAAATGGCGACTCTGTCAAAATCAGTGGTCTTCAAAATTTCTAGATACGAAAAAATTGTTCTTTATTTTGCACAAGCCACTATATTACAGATAAGCGTAGCAATAGCCTTAACTGCGCACATTTTTGCTATTAATTTACGCACTCTCAGTAGCAAGTAATTTTTGATTGAGGCGTAATACTTCACCTTAAATTAATATAGTAATGGCTCGTTGAAGTCTGTGTCACATTGTATACCCAAATATAATTTAAACAACTTTTGTCAGAATATTGTCCATACGTGATGTTTAGGTGCTGACAGCACTAGATTCTTTCAAACTACTTCAAAAACAAAACACAAGGGGTCCTCGAGATTCTTTTAAATTACTTCAAAAACAAGACAAGGGATCCAAAAAGATTCTTTAAAACTACTTCAAAAACCAAACACAAGTGATTCCTGAGATTCTTTCAAATTACTTCTAAAACATAACAAAAGAGGTCCCCGAGATTCTTTAAAACTATTCCAAAAACAAAATATGAGAGGTTCCTGAGATTCTTTCAAATTACTTCAAAAACAGTATAAGGGATCCCTAAGATTCTTTAAAACTTCTTCAAAACAAAACAAAAGGGATCCCCGAGATTCTTTAAAACTACTTCAAAAACAAAGGAGCCCCCGAAATACTTTCAATTTCTTCAAAAACAAAAGGGGTCCTCGAGATTCTTTCAAACTACTTCAAAAATCAAAACAAAATTGACCCCAGATTCTTTAAAACTACTTCAAAAACAAAACAAAGGGGCCCCGAGATTCTTTAACACTATTTCAAAAATAAAACAAAAAGGGTTCCCGAGATTCTTTTAAATTACTTCAAAAAGCCAGACACAAGAAGTCCCGGAGGTTCTTTCAAAGTACTTCAAAAATAAGATAAGGGATGCCCAAGATTCTTTAAAACTGCAAAAATAAACAAAAGGGGCCCCCGAGATTCTTTAAAACTACTTCAAAAATAAAACAAAGGGTTTCCGAGATTCTTCGAAACTACTTCAAAAACAAAACAAAAGGGGTCCTCGAAATTCTTTTAAATTACTACAAAAACAAGACAAGGGATCCAAAAAGATTCCTTAAAACCACCTCAAAAACAAAACAAAGGGGGTTCCCGAGATTCTTTAAAATTACTTCAAAAACAAAAGAAAAGGGGTCCTCGAGATTCTTTTAAATTACTGCAAAAACAAGACATAGGATCCAAAAAGATTCTTTAAAACTGCCTCAAAAACGAAACAAAAGGGCTCCCCGAGATTCTTTCAAACTACTTTAAATATCAAAGCAAATGGGTTGCCGAGATTTTTTAAAACTACTTCAAAAACAAAAAGGGGCCCCCGAGGTTCTTTCAAAGTACTGCAAAAACAAGACAAGGGATCCAAAAAGATTCTTTAAAACTGCCTCAAAAACGAAACAAAAAAGGTTCCCGAGATTCTTTCAAGTTACTTCAAAAACAAAAAGGGGTCCTCGAGATTCTTTCAAACTACTTCAAAAATCAATACAAAAAGGGTCCTCGAGATTCTCTAAAATTACTTCAAAAACAAAAAAGGGCCCCCGGGGTCCCAGAGATTCTTTCAATTTCTTCAAAAACAAAAGTGGCCTCGAGATTCTTTCAAACTACTTCAAAAATCAATACAAAAAGGGTCCTCGAGATTCTCTAAAATTACTTCAAAAACAAAAAAGGGCCCCCGGGGTCCCAGAGATTCTTTCAATGTCTTCAAAAACAAAGGTGGGCCTCGAGATTCTTTCAAACTACTTCAAAAATCAAAACAAAAAGGATCCCTGAGATTCTTTAAAACTATTTCAAAAACAAAACAAAAGGGGTCCCCGAGATTATTAAACTACTTCAAAAACAAAGCAAAAAGGGTTCCCGAGAATCTTTAAAATTACTTCAAAAACAAAAGAAAAGGGGTCCTCGAGATTATTTTAAATTACTGCAAAAACAAGACATGGGATCCAAAAAGATTCTTTAAAACTGCCTCAAAAACGAAACAAAAGGGGTCCCCGAGATTCTTTCAAACTACTTCAAAAATCAAAACAAAAAGGGACCCTGAGATTCTTTAAAACTATTTCAAAAACAAAACAAAAGGGGTCCCCGAAATTTTTAAACTACTTCAAAAACAAAGCAAAAAGGGTTCCCGAGATTCTTTAAAATTACTTCAAAAACAAAAGAAAAGGGGCCCTCGAGATTCTTTTAAATTACTGCAAAAACAAGACATGGTATCCAAAAAGATTCTTTAATCTGCCTCATAAACAAAACAAAAGGGTCCCCGAGGTTCTTTAAAACTACTTCAAAAACAAAAAGCCCCCCCCCGAGGTACTTTCAAAGTACTTCAAAAACAAAACGAAAGAGGTTCAAGAGATTGTTTCAATTTCTTCAAAAACAAAAGTGGTCCTCGAGATGCTTTCAAACTACTTCAAAAATCAAAACAAAAACGGTCCCTGAGATTCTTTAAAACTATTTCAAAAACAAAACAAAAGGGGTCCCCGAGATTCTTAAACTACTTCAAAAACAAAGCAAAAAGGGTTCCCGAGATTCTTTACAATTACTTCAAAAACAAAAGAAAAGGGGTCCTCGAGATTCTTTTAAATTACTGCAAAAACAAGACATGGGATCCAAAAAGATTCTTTAAAACTGCCTCAAAAACAAAACAAAAGGGGTCCCCGAGATTCTTTAAACCTACTTCAAAAACAAAAAGGGCCCCCCGAGGTAGTTTCAAAGTACTTCAAAAACAAAACGAAAAAGGTTCCAGGGATTCTTTCAGTTTCTTCAAAAACAAAAGTGGTCCTCAAGATTCTTTCAAACTACTTCAAAAATCAAAACAAAAAGGGTCCCTGAGATTCTTTAAAACTATTTCAAAAACAAAACAAAAGGGGTCCCCGAGATTCTTAAACTACTTCAAAAACAAAGCAAAAGGGTTCCCGAGATTCTTTAAAATTACTTCAAATGCAAAACAAAAGGTGTTCCCGAGATACTTTCAAACTTCTTCAAAAACAAAACACAAGAGGTTCTCGAGATTATTTTAAATTACTGCAAAAACAATACAAGGAATCCAAAAA